CTGTAGTAATAGCCAACATCATTACATCAATGCAGTTAAAGTAAGAGGTGGAAGTATGGTTGTCCTCGCAGTATTTTAGATATTAAAGATTGTACAAGCTTTGCTAGGGGAAGGGATCGGTGAAGGATCGGTGAAGTTTGGTAGTATCATAATGGCACTTAATATATCAAAGTTTGGTAGTTCTCTTCTAATCCCGGTCGTCTAAGACCACAGCTTGGAGCCAATTAATCACAATCCAAACGCGGTGACGAGAACCCCACCAGGAAGACCAGACCTGACTGTTGAAATAAATGTGTGCGCAATCCATGCACATATGCCCAACAAAACTGCAGAATTGGAAAACAAAAGGACTTGTCAGTTACAAAATCACTACCATATATATTTGTACGCAAAACTTCCTCGTCATATATATATGTGTGTACACACACTGACACACGCATGAAGTAGAGGAAAAAGAGGAAGCATTCTGTAGTACAATAGTAGTTATCTCCTCTCTTTGAGATATGTCATTGTACGTACGCAGAGGCGTAGCTCTACAAAATTATAATAATAATAACTTTATCATATATCTGCCGACTAATAACTAGTGCACCTCTGCAAATGGACTGCATTGATTTTGTGCGGTGACCAGTGGAGTGGGGGTTGCGATTAGATACCCTGTCCCTGTTGTTGCCATTTTATACATACATACACTGATACACAACCCGATCGAACAGAAAGATGCGAGGACAAAAAACAAAAGACCGGGAAGGTGACTTGACAGGTTATGATCGCGATCAAGAGAACATGGGAGGGTCCACAGGCACCGTTTGATTTATCCATCTATCCATCCAACCATCCATTCATCCATTCATTTATTGGGTATTTATAGACTTAATTAATTAAACAGTCAAGTGCTTGTTTGACCATCTGACCAGAGCCAGACCCTGATCTCGTGTTGACTTTCTGACAAACCATTTAAAGTTGTTGTTTTGGGCTAAAAAAACGTGCAAGCAACCTAACTAAGCAGGCCGAGGATCGATATCAATCTTCTTGCTTTTTCGGAACCATAGTAAGTATTAAGAAATTACCGGAGGGAGCGATCGGTGGCCTCTTTCGGTTGTTTGTTTTGTTAATAATATATGCAGGTAGGATTCCCGTGAGTTTTATTTACAGCTTTATGTTAGGATTTTTTTTATTTATATATTTTATGGATTAGGGTTTCTCTACTAGAATGAAATATGACATCTTCCCTTTTTCTATTTGAGTTTAGGCTTGCTTATCCGTTTTTCTTCTATTTTTTTATTTTTAGAATCAGGTCTTTATAAAAACACTTTTTGCAACTCTGAAGTAAAAAAGTACTGACAAAATGCAATCTTTTTGTAATATATCGTGCGATGAACAAATTTTGTACAAGCGTAGATTACTATTGGGTACCCCTTAAACCAAGAAAGAAAAGACAAAGTCTTGTCACATTGAGAAGCTATGAATTTCTTGGTTAAGGAACGTTATCCCGCATGAGGGACACTATTAGGTGAGGCGTGGAAAACACGCTAACCTAGTAAAGGTGTAACCTTTGTTGAGCGTAATTTACGGAGAGACGTCCCCTCGCATTTAATGATCAACCAACACAATGATTAAATGCTAACGAAACCCTATAAATAATTTTGTTAACTAGGTCTGCTTCAGTACTCGTGGCCTCTCCTCTTATACCAGTAAAAGTTGGTTACCACTATTGGTCTTAGCAGATACATAATATTCTTCCTTCATTTGTGTCAACAGAAGAATAATTTATAGTTTGTAATCAATTTTTTAACACTTGACACTGCTATACCGCTGCATTGCTTGGCTTCCTCCTTTTTTGCCAATTATACTCCATCGGTATCATGTCTTTTCTCATGATGCAAAGTGTGATTAATTTGTACTAGCAATGTCAACTTGACAGAAAATGTCATATTTATATCCAAAAATCTGGAGCTGATGATGAACTGACTTACCCTCTAGGCAGTTTGTTTAGCTAGGTTTGTGTTGATTATATGTATACAAAGCAATTAATTACTTTTGTAGGAACGTAACTACTGCTTTTTGTAGAAGATCGAGTAAAAAAGATGATTGTGTTGATATGTATACATCATGCCATCACCACCAGAACACACTCAATAATGAAATGTTTTCTTATTACAATCAAAATAAAATTTTAATTTGAACAGAAGTATTGACATGCAATATAAAAAAGAAAGAAATAGTTGAGAGCCATCGTGGTTGAGTTGAGAAATCTTTCAACTAATTAGTTTACTGGTTAGTGCCCTTAAAAGTTTATGTAACTTTGATCGTTTTTAAATGTACGTATATATACGTAGTCTCTTAAGTCAGCAGCTTAATCTGCATGCAGTGAGTAGAGAAAGAGGATGGTGCTGATTAATGCAATGCCGTTTCATCCTTAGATATTGTTGGTAAGCATCGATCCTGATGATGCTGATGATTCATAAATGGTTGAATCATCAGCGGTAGTATAGAAAAACTTCACAATTGCAAATTGAATACAAAGCATACCTGGTTTGACAGCCAAACAGAAGCATTCATGAATTCTCCTAGCAGCGGTGGTGGTAGTTTCACCTCTTAAATTAATGGGCCTAACTTGCGATGTGAGGGACTAGCAGTGTGTTTTTACTTTTCTATATAAAGTTCATTAATTATTGGTGGTCGAGACAATAATACTTGACAACCATTTAAAAGGTGAGGGCAATAGTTTTTTTCTTATATAATAATCTGTACAAGAAAGTGGAGATATATGCTAAAGTTATACCTGAGAGTCTAACATAAGATTTCTCATTTATAAGTGGAGGAGGATCATTTTAGTGCTAATGACATGGTTAGTCTCACACGTGGAGTATATGTCCCGATCAACCAAAAAAAGTGAAATTGGTCGGATAGCAGTTTTGGTTGTTGATAGGATTTTTACTACCTGCAAAAGTAGGGATAAAAACACTTAAAAATACTTGCAAGAGTACAAGGTAGTTGTAGTATAAACAGCTAAGTAAGGTCGTTTTCCACAGGGATTGAATGAATAATTTGTGTTTAAAACCAACTCTTAATTAATTATTTAAAACAAAGTTTGGAAAATATTAATTTTGAGATTTAAAATAATAAAAACGAATTTAAATAAAATAAAATAAATCAACTAGAAACCAATTTAAAGAAACACTAGGGTTCCGCCGTCACCTTAACAATTTACTTATGAATTATCCATGCATATTTGAAGATCAGGTTTTCCTAATACATGTCCTACTTGGAACCTCTAACATAGAACGTATATCTAACCTGCAATCCGTCCGGACGTTCGGATCAAATATGAACATGAAGGACTCATTAAATTTTATGAAAACCCTTTGAAAAACCATGCAACCCTTAAGACGTGGTGTTCATCCTAAGTGAAATTACAATTATTAACCACAAGAAGCCAGCGTCAATTTCAGGGAACCTTCCGACCAAAATTGCATCAAATTACTTTTCTAAATATCCTAATGGTCGCGAATCACTAAGACACTTAGATAGTTTAAAACGGTGATTAATAATTCAAAACATGCATGCATAATATCATAAGTAAATTAAAAAGAAACTAGTTACGAACAATCATAAAACAAAATATTATTAAGAACATGGAAAGAAAACACCTTGAAAATAAACTTCAATTGTCAATCCAAAATAGTGTGTGTGTTATCCTCCTCTCCTTCTTTAAAAACCTAATGGCTAAATATCTTTATTTATACTACTACAAAATAAAACCCTAAAAGATCTTCTAAAAACTAGGAAACACAATAGAATAAGATAACTAGGAAATACATTCCTATACTAACTTTGGAAAATCTACCCAACCACAAAGAATTCCACGTTTCTGGATCTTTAGGGCTCCAAAACAGGCCCAAAATGACTAGAATTAAAACTTAAGATGTCCCGAACATAATTTGCAGAAGGCCTCGAACACAAAAGACATCATCATGGATGCCAGAAAGCTCACGTCACTTTGACAACATTGCGCATTGCTCATTTATTTCATCGTCATAATTAAACCGCTTAATATAAAAGTCTGAAACTTTGACACAAACACATTGAAGGACTAACGAATATCCTCCCATTGGAATCACTCCAAAATTCATCTGTTTGAATGCTTTATGCTCAAGAGGAAATCGAATGTCCTACATTGGAAATATAATTCAAGGTATCAAAATTTACACAAAATAACCAATAAAATAAAACTAAGATTAGGGTAAAATATATAATAAAATATTGACTCATCCGTTGTTCTAGAACACGTGTACTTATGTGATAACTATATGCCCCTCCGCTTCAATTTACTAACTAATATATTGTAGAGAAGACATGAACAAATCTTACAAATAGAAATAAGCAATTGTTGCTAGAACTTCAAAATAGTCATTTGCACGTCTTTTTGGTCATTATTACTTTTCAGACCAGGAAGGAGTTTGGTGACAATAATAACTCCCGAAAAACAAAGAAAATAGAGTGATTCAATTTTGATATGAAATGATGCAATCTCAAGCATCAAGCATGGTGTAAAAAATGGAAAAATGATGCATTTTTGGGAATTTTGGATTGCTCGAGAAATTTTCAGGCAAAGATGATCTTTAGCAAGATCTAGATTTGATTCTGTTCATGAGATATATTTTTGGGGTTTCATGTTTAAGTCAACTTTTTTTTTATTTCCAGACAATATTACCAGCACATCTTATTACCCAATCGGGGGATGCAAGTTTTACCCATTCGGGAAAAGAACAGAATATTAGAGAGGGATGAGCCTACGGGAGGATACCGATTGAATTTTCCCTTCACCAAAATCCTGAAGGATCCTTTTACGTTAGTTGTTCTGGCCCCTTTGTCCGGTCCGCCTTAGATTCACACCGTTTTGGTCTTGTTTTTGTTCATTCCTGGCGACGTTGGGCCTCAAATGAAGTTTTCTCCGACCCAAAGATTCTATTCATCTATCTTCGGAGCAAGAGAAGAATGCAACTTCCAAAACTAGTCATTAAATAAGGGACAAGTTTACTTGGTACCTAATCAATAACCATCTTCCAACTTGTACAAAACAAAAATTTCCATGTTTTTTCCGAGAATGTGTATAGAGCACGACCAATAACGAATGCTTGAGACGATATTTTTCAGACAAACTGGAGATCTTGAGATCCTACATATGGTTGCTTTCCAGCCAAATGCGTTCAACTGAGACCGCAACAACAATAGCAAAGGATTTTCCCATCCAATGAGTCAAACTGTTTAACACAACTAACCCAAACATTTCGACCCTCGTCATCCAACAAAACACATTGGATAAACGCTTGATAGCATTATTTCCCAAAGTCTAAAATCAATTCACAGAGCCTTTCTCAAATTTTTACCAATGCCACTAGATTTGTCTGGTTTCAATCAAACTTAATGGCAGTCTTGGCAGAGCATTCAAAGTGACGTCCCTACGAGTTTACATCCCAATTCAAAGCTATTGCACATACTGTACCGCTGTCAAAAAGAGAAAGATGATGAAGGAATCAACAAGGGGAATTTTACCGACAAACATAAACATGCAAAAGGTCAGTAGATGTTAAGATTTCCATAAACTAGGGCAGATCACTACACATAACTGCAGCTTAGGGTCACAAATGATAGTTTCCTAGAGTGGGGAGTCGAGACATCATGGCAACAAATACTACTAGTCTGCTACCACTTTCACCTCTGTACATGTCTCAGGAATAAAGAAAGAGGTAATGACATCCCACAAAGATACCTGGAGGTTTGGAAAGCCTGTCGACCCATCCTGATTAACTTATGCAATTTCTGACTAGAGAGAGGACTTAGATCGGAGAGGAGCAGCTCTTTTCTTTTTAACAAAAAGCAGTGATGAATGGGACAGAGCTGCTACAATAGCTTCAAGCTGGAGCTGCTTTATGTATTGGAGCAGAGGTGGCATTTCAGATAGCAGCAGGAGCCGGACCAGCAATTACAGAAGAAAAAAAAAAAAAAAAAAAAAAAAAAAAAAAAAAAAAAAAACAAGAAACCATTACATTCCAAATCGTCCAACGTAGTCAAGCTTTGATTCTTTCACAAAAGTCATCGCAGAACTTTTCTAAACATGTTTTACAGCAAATCTTGTTGAATCTAAAAAATATATATAAACCATTAGAAACAAACAAACATTTTTAATACATAAACTAGGATTACATATGTGTGTGTCTGCATGTATGTATCAGGAGGACCATTGCTATCACGTACATACAGAAAACATATCAATACTACAAACACAAATCACCATATGACTCCTTATTGTTGTTCTTTTCATCCCTTGTTCTTAAAGCCAGTATCCGATAATACATCACTCTGTTCAAACTGGTTGAACTCTTTAATAATCAGATGCACTGTAATTAGATCCTTTTCGAACTATAATCCGGTAACTGCAAGCCAATTAAGAATATTTATACAATTTAGGAACATCTGAGGTGTGTGCAGCAAGTATAGAGGCGTAGTATATGCCAACACATTACTTGCTAAGGTTTAACTTTAAATTAAAGTACCCATACTACTCTGCAGCTGCTAAAAGCTCAAAAAAAGTTAAACTAGAGGTGTCTCATAGAACGTGTATTATAAAAATAAAAGAAGAAAGTACAAACCTCATTGTACAAACCCTAAACCACAACATCAAACAGCAGCACCACAAAAAGACTACTCAACATAACAATTAACAGAAAACTAGAGCACTGATCAGCTAATAGAAGCTTAGATTGAGAGTCTGAGACATAGACTGACTAAAGAAGCCGAAAATCCCACGATACCCCCACAAATCTTTACTCACTTGGCTCTTTATCTTACTTTAAGCCTTTAAATTTCGTTTGTCATAATATAATTTTGACATAAAAACAAAACATATTTAACTTGTATGAGTAAGACTAGTAGTATCTGCTAAAACTTCGCTCCTGGTCATTCCTAGTGATGAGGTAGTATAAACATATTCAAAACATTGATAATCATGCACTGTACTTTCAACCTTTTGCTACATTTAAAAACTGCATAAGCTCCTCTATTATGAAGACATCCAAAAATATCACAGCACACTCAAAACATTGATAATCATGCATGCATGTTAGGTTGGATTATAAGCACAAAAACAGGGCATTTCAATGAAAACTGGGCAATGTTCAAAATCATTGGTACTATAATAGCAAGATGTACTAATACAACCTAGTAACTGGTGTGAATCCAACTGCAAAACTAAGATGACAAATCAAAAAGTTAGAGTTTGCAATACCATTCCCTACAGCAGATATTCCGGCTTCCAAAGACGAGCTGAAAAAAGTATGACAAGTTAATTTTTAGTTCTCGATCCAAGGTTAGGCAAGCTGCATTACAACCTAATGCATCAGCTCCATTCTCAGCCCAGAGCCGCCACAAACCTTCAACTCTTCAAAGGCCTGTACAAAACTCAGCGTCTCCTTGTAAGTGAATTTTTGTGCATGTCCAGCAACCTTTCAAGGGATGCAAGGGACCAAGTTTCCTCTGTTTGGGCATATACCTTTTGATTTAGAGAGTCAACTATTATGCTTACATTACCAAAGCCATACATCTGATGACCATTATGCATCCTCCCAGGCTTAGGCCTAAATAGCAGGCCATGCTGCTGCGCATGGGCTTCAATAACATCTTTCAAACTCATCTCGTGACCAATGCCATCCATTTGAGCAGTACCACCCAAGTTTGCCTGTGCTGCTGCTGCTGCTGCTTTCTGATGTGCCTCAAATTGCCTTTGCTCAAGCACCCTAAAGTAGCTAATATTCTCCTTCAAACCAGGTTGGACCACCTCCATACCCTCAACAGCCCGATTCATCATGTCAAGACCACAATTAAGCTGATACCGGATACTTTCATTAGCATGAAGCTCCTCAGGAATGAGTTCCTTCCAACCTTTATACCAATTTAAAACCTCCTCAAAGTTCGGGTTCGAACATAACCAGTGATACAAAACCTGTAGCCACTTGGTGAAGAAAAATTTCTCCATCATATCTACCATTAGATGAATTGGAATAGCAGAAGCCCAACTCATCACCCAATTATATTGATCAAGCGTCTGATCTGCAGGGTTCACTTGGAATTCTTGTAAGACAAGCTGCAACTTGGGTACTATAAATCTATACATAAGCTGTTCCCAACTCGCGGCATCAAACACCTTCTTCCACGGTGAGAGTATAGTATAGGCAGATCCATCACTTGGGTGCCAAGCACCCAGAACATTACTCAACTTGAATCGTATTGTGTGATACAAGTCTTCCAACTTGTGTCCCAAGAATGGTAGCCACGGATGCACCCACACATGGATGGGTACAGTGTCCCGGTGAGGTTCCCACAAGTCAACTGCGTCCTTCAATTTAGGAAAGATTACCATATCCAATAAGGAATCAAGGACAGAAGGAGGCAGCAATTTCTCCCAGGACTCCAGAAAGCGAAGCATGGGTTCAGGGTCCTTGGGCTGCCATGTATTCACGCCAGCAATCCTAACGGCAGGTACTACAACCTCGGAAAGCAATTGGGTGTAAGGGGACATTGAGTTATCCCAAATATCCAAGTACTGTTCTCTCTCCCCCTCGCCATGAAGCAAAGCCTTCCAAGAAGATACTAAATCCAACCCATGCGAGGGGTTTCTAAGAGGATTCCAGCCCTGAAACATCCTAATAAATAGAGGCAGAGCAAAGGAGCAGGCAATGCAAGACAAGTTACATAACTTATAGTCATCAGCGTATCTCTTCTGCAGGTCACCAAAGCCCTTTGTCAGGGAGTCCAGCGTCAATGTTCCCATTCTATTCTCTTCTCCCAGTCGATCCAAGACGGTCCTAATATCCTCCAAGCTATCCAGGTATTGCTTCTGCCTGGCCACCTCCGTCTTCAACCTCTCTTTCTCCTGGTTCAAGCTGATGGCCGTGTCCCGCTCAATCCTCAGGTCCCTATCAATCTTCTGGATATCAAGCTCAGCTAAGTCCAGAATCAACCTGACGTTGTGCTGTAGCTCGGGCATGGGAACGTCCTCTTCCCTGGCTTTCTCTTCGGCATTCAAATTCTCCAGATTGGTCAAGACTCGAACCTGAGGTCCTCGCATATCAACCACCTTGTGCACAAGGACCTCGGTGCCCTCTTCCTGCTTCTGGGCTAACAACTCCTTGGCGGAGACATAATGGTCCTTGTCAGTCTTGTCGGCAGCGGCCCTCTTCTTCCAGGAAGGCTTCTTTTTGGCGGAGGTCGCATCCGGCAAAGGCTTGCTCGGCTTTTCAGCTTCCAATTCTTGCAAGCTAGGCCGCTTGACTTCCGTCTCCTTGTAATCATTGAAACCCATGCCCATATTCTTTGGCCTCAACTTGGCTTCAATAGGAGCGAGAATGCCTTGCTCGTTCTTCCCAAGTCCGCCTCCTTTGTAGCCCATGTTCTTAAGCATCTTCATTCCAATGCCCTTGGTGTGCTTCTCGAAGGTCCCCAAACCCCCATCCCCGCCGCCCTTTGCTCCTAATCCTGCAAATTGGCCTTCTTCAGAACCTCCTCGACCCTGAGACTGACTACTAGTCTGCTTGAGCAATTTCAGCTTTTCCCTCTCCTTGTGTCTCCTCTCCGCTCCCTCCTTTATCTTCTTCCCAAACGCTGTCGGCAAAAAACTCTGCTCGTCGTCGTCATCCTCCTCCTCGCCCCCCAACGGATCCAAATTCGGAACTTTAAAACCTAAACCGGAACCGGTAGCGGCACCAAAGCCGAGGCCAATGGTGGCGCCGAGGCCAGGCCGGTTATCATCGTTTTGCTGCTTTGAATTGTCGTCGACCTCCTGGTTGGGCATGACGATTCCGGTGGAGATGAAACTGACGGGCCTGGTGAGGTCGACCTTTCGGTCTTTCCTGCGTTTTCTGGGGCCGTCGTTGTCATCGTCGTCGTCGGAATCGGCAGTGAATATGCCGTAGAGGACGTCGTCTTTGGTTTGGACGCGCTTGTCCTTGCGTTTGCGGTAATAGAACTCCCCGCCGATCCACTGACCGTCCTCGTAATCCTTCTCCATTCCAAACCTCTCCATCTCCTGATAATCATCCATCACCCTCCCTGCCCTAAAATTGTACCTCTGATTTCGATCACCAAAACCCTAACACTGGTGATTGGGGAATCAAATCATAATAAATTTTGACCAAAAAATAAAAATAAATCCGAATAAATTGGAATAAAAGTGTATATTCAAAGCAAATTATGGATGCAGTGATTTAGGGTGGAAGCATAGAAGTTTCGGTGGCAGTCTCGGCCGTTCTTAAGAGATCCCCAGAGACATTAGGCTATGTTTGCTGATTACACCAACTTGTCGCCGTTTTTCCTTTTGTTTTTTTATTTATTTATAAAAACTATAAGATTTTCAGAATGAAAACTTTTATTTGAGCCCCGTAGACCTTTTTTTTCACATTCAATTTAAATTTAAAATATAAATTATTTTTTTTTATCTTAACTTATAATTTACAGCCAGTATAATATGACATTACTACCAATTAAAAAAAATTTATTAATAAATTCATTTTCATGCTAAAACGTTAAAATAAAACTCCACTAAAACTCCATCTAACTTCACAAACCTCAAAATGACGATTGAATGCAACTCCTAAGTTAATGAATATTGCTCGTTGTGATTTAGCTATTGGATTAACAAGTTTACAGAATTCTGTTGTTATCTTTCAAAACAAAGCAACTCCAATTCCAAAGTGTGACATCCCACATCGTCCAGGAGAGTGATCCTTATATGTATATTCTCATCCCTACCTAGCACGAGACCTTTTGGGAGCTCACTGGCTTTGGGTTCCGTAGGAACTCCAAAGTTAAGCGAGTAGCGCGCGAGAACATTCTCAGGATGGGTGATCCATTCGGAAGTTCTCGTGTGAGTTCCCAAAAACAAAACCATGAGGGCGTGGTTGGGACCCAAAACGGACAATATCGTGCTACGGCGGTGGAGTCGGGCTCGGGAAGTGGTCCCGTCCGGATCGGGATGTGAAAATTTAGTATCAGAACCTAACCCTGGCCGTGGTGTGCCGACGAGGACGTCGGGCCCCTAAGGGGGGTGGATTGTGACATTCCACATCGCCCAGGGGAGTGATCCTTATATGTATATCCTCATCCTTACCTAGCACGAGACTTTTTGGGAGCTCATTGACTTCGAGTTCCGTAGGAACTCCGAAGTTAAGCGAGTAGCGCGCGAGAGCAATCCCATGATGGGTGACCTACTAGGAAGTTCTCGTGTGAGTTCCCAGAAACAAAACCGTGAAGGCGTGGTCAAGGCTCAAAGCGGACAATATAGTGCTACGGTAGTGGAGCGGGCTCGGGAAGTGATCCGTCCCGGGGTGGGATGTGACAATTTCGTATCAGAGCCTAACCCTGGCCGTGGTGTGCCGACGAGGACGTCGGGCCTCTAAGGGGGGTGGATTGTGACATCCCACATCGCCCAGGGGAGTGATCTTTATATGTATATTCTCATCCCTACCTAGCACGAGGCCTTTTGGAAGTGAGCTCACTGGCTTCGGGTTTCATGGGAACTCTGAAGTTAAGCGAGTAGCGCACGAGAGCAATCCCATGATGGGTGACCCACTGGGAAGTTCTCGTGTGAGTTCCCATAAACAAAACCGTGAGGGCGTGGTTGGGGCCCAAAGCGGACAATATCGTGCTACTGTGATGGAGCGGGGCCGAGAAGTGATCCACCCGAGCTGGGATGTGACACAAAGAATGTGCTCCATGTACAATGAGAGGAAAAGATGCAATTCTAGAATTCTTTTGTTTAGTTATTCATGTGTTCTGTGGCTGTCGGATCTAATATAATGGCTACAAATGGAGCAATCACGGAAAAATAGTTATACAACAAATGTTCTCAAGAATGATAATAGAAAAGCAAAATCATAGTTTACCATGTTTAGACCGCCTCCAAGTTTTAACTTAAAATCTAAAATTTTTAGCTTAGAAAATTTAGGTTTTAACCCATAAATAGTTTTTTTGATCTAACCCTTATGACCTAAATTTTTTAGTTTGAGATTATTAAAGAATAAATTTAGGCTAATTTTTTCTTTTAAGTAATTAAAAAAAATTATGTACACTATACTAATTTAAATTTATGAACATTTTAACCCAAAAATATTTAGATTCCGATAAGTATTGAAAAATCACTAAATTTGGATGAATTTTGAGTTAAATAATTTTTTTAAATTATTTTAGCTGTTGTATTTAAATTTGGGTAGTTAGATTTTTTTTTACTGTTAAATTTGATTATATTCGACCTCAGCCATTGGATTCAATAAATCCTACAAGACATGCCTATGTGGGTGGGATCCTGCTGGTGGTGCCCACATTATTTTCTGGGCCAAATCCTGGGCTATTTTTTGCTTTATTTTGGGTTATAGGTTTTAGGTCCAATTTTCCACTTGGGTTGGGTTGGATTTGGGAGGAATATAAGGGAAAATAGGTTATAGGTCAGGATTGGAGTTGATCTTATAATCAATTTTCATTTAAAAAAATATTGAAAATGACAAGGATAATCCTTTATGTGACATCCCACATTGCCTAGGGGAGTGATCCTTAAATGTATATTCTCATCCCTACCTAGCATGAGGCATTTTGGGAGCTCACTGGCTTCGGGTTCCGTAGGAACTCCGAAGTTAAGCGAGCAGGGGGCTAGAGCAATCCCATGATGGGTGACCCACTGGGAAGTTGCTCGTGAGTTCCCAAAAACAAAACCGTGAGGGAATAGTAAGCCCAAAGCGGACAATATCGTGCTACGGTGGTGAAGCGGGCCCTGGAAGTGATCCGCCCCGGGCGGGGATGTGACAATTTGGTATCAGAGCCTAACCCTGGCCGTGGTGTGCCGACGAGGACGTCGGGCCCCTAAGGGGGGTGGATTGTGACATCCCACATCGCCTAGAGGAGTGATCCTTAAATGTATATTCCCATCCCTACCTAGCATGAGGCCTTTTGGGAGCTCACTGGTTTCGAGTTCCATAGGAACTCTGAAGTTAAGCGAGAAGGGGGCTAGAGTAATCCCATGATGGGTAACCCACTGGGAAGTTGCTCGTGAGTTCCCAAAAACAAAACCGTGAGGGAATAGTAAGTTCAAAGCGGACAATATCGTGCTACGGTGATGGAGCGGGTCCGGGAAGTGATCCGCCCCGGACCGGGATGTGACACTTTATATTTTACAAATTATATTTTTTGTCCCTATATATTGTCTTTGACAATTATTATATCACATTAAATATAATTTTTTCATTTTTCTTATTTAACATATTCACAACGGTTTATATAAAATTTATCAAATACTTACACACTTTTATTTTATTTAAAAAAAAAAAACACTTTTACAAGAAAACATTTTACCAAACACTCAATAATTTTATTTTAGAAGTGTTTATCCTCATTGTGCGTCAGAAACAATTTTTTCAAAAAGCACCGAATACCAAATTAGCCTATTTTCAATCAAATCCCAAAAGAGAGAGAAACACGATACAAGCAAATGAAAAGAAAAGGATGATTACGTTGCATTAATTAACCTCTCACTCTCGCATCAATAGGCATAGATTTCAGAAATTCGGATCTTGCTGTATCCATTCACTGCTTCAACTCGACGCCAAATCCAGTTGCTACTTCCATTTCATAGAGAATTGGATCTGTGGGTGAAACTTGAAACTAGGTTTTCGCTTCGGGACATGTTTATAGCTGGGCTTGTTGTGTTGGTGGTCATGCAAGAAAGATGGAATTTAGATTTGAAGTAGAGATTTGGAGAAATTGTTGGATTTTGTGCGTGTTCGATTTTGATGGGACTTGAGATTTGATTCTGAGGTGAGGTGTGGTGTGGTGTGGTGATTATTTCGGTTCCAAAGGCTCCGAGTCGGAGGACAACATGTTCTGGAGGGACCGTGACCGTGAGAGGGACAAAAAAGACCAAAACGGTGGCGGCGGTCCGCCTTGTGGCCAGGTTCGGGTGCTGGTTGTCGGCGACTCTGGTATCTTTTTTTCTTTTTCTAACTTTTGATTTTCTTTTAATTTCTTTTGTGTTTTGGTTTTCCTAAATTTTGATTGATTGCTTTCTCCTTGATCGTGCTGTATGTGCTCGTATCCTATCCGTGTCATGATGTTTGTAATTAGGAGGAATATGGATAGTGACAATAAAGTTTCGTTACAACTTTGGTACCAAATTGTTGTAGATATGAGTTTGGAGACAGGACATTCTGATCACAGTGGTTGCTTCTCTTCAATTAGTTCGTTACAGAATTATTCGATTAAAAGTTTCTTGTAGCGGTGTACCAAAGCAATTTGAACTCAGAGGCTTAAGTGACACGCGAGAGTGACTTTGTCATGGAATTTTTGGAACTTGATTAGTAGATATCTACACATTTCATTTTTGCATTCTGGCTTGAGAAAGGTCTGTGCATCTTTATATTTTGGAAATAGGTTGGCCAGGTTTAATGAAACCTTTACCTGTTTTGATCTTGAACCAGTAGGTAATATTGTGATGCTTACTCAATCATGGAGTGGTTCTACACATGTTAGTTTCAAGTAGTTGTGTCAAGTTCAATTCTGACGTGCTTGATTGTTAAAATATATTATCTAAGCTTGCTAGAAGTGTAATGGCTTTAATGTTTATGATATTGCATTGCTCAAATTAATTTTTGGTAGGCAGAATTGGAATCCTCTAAGACCAACTCCAATGGTGGGCTAAAAGCCAAATTATCCCCCAAAATTTCCCCCCAAACCCACTCCAACCCCAAGGGGAAATTTTGGGCTAAATGCTAAATGCTAAACCAATGCCAAAATCCCCCCAAAATTTAGCCCAGAAATCGGAGTGGACTCCACCCAATATTTATCGGAATTAAAATTTTTTTTTTAGATTAAAATGTTCATAAAATTAATTTACGATAGTCTATGTATTTATTTAAAAAAAACAAAATTTATTTAACAAAAAAAATAGCCTAAGTTCATTCTTTAATAATCCCGGGCTACAATTTTAGGTTAGAACGGTTGGAGCAGAAAAACTATTTCTGGGTAAAAAGCTAAATTTTCCGGGCTAAAATATTTGGTTTTTAGCCCAACCATTGGAGATAGTCTAAACCTGTAATTTGACATCCGCACATGTGCGCGAAAAACAATTGTTTAATGCATTAGGGAGTATTTTACTTATCCAATCTCTTTTGTTGTACATTACATCTCGTAACTTCAGTTTTATTATCAAACTTCATCGTTATATTGTGATGTATTCGTAGGTGTTGGAAAAACTGCTCTTGTTCATCTGATTGTCAAAGGTTCTTCCATCACGCGTCCTCCTCAGACAGTAGGGTGTACAGTAGGTGTAAAGGTGAGAATTATCAGTACTTTGATTCTGATGGGATATTGAGAACTATTTCTGAACTTCAAGTCTCAATAATTGTTTACTGTTTTTCTATCCAGCATACTACTTATGGAAACTTGGGTAGCTCGTCAAGCAGTATTAAAGGTGACGCTGAGAGAGATTTCTTTATTGAACTCTGGGATGTGTCTGGACATGATAGATACAAAGAGTGCCGATCTCTTTTTTATTCCCAAATTAATGGCAAGTTTGGGACCTCTCTCCCTCTATAAACATTTTATTCTCCTGGTAAATAGTATGCATGTTAATACAAGGTAGAGACAAAGGCCGTGAAGTAAAGAAAGTCTAAGGGACAATTTAATTGAGTATTTACCGTTAATTTAGAAATCAACAGCCTTCTTGGGCTTGTAAGTGCTTAAATTTAACCATTTTTGCATCTCTTGTTGCATCCATGTTCTATAATAATGATGGAAAAAAAAGCATGATAGGTGTTGACAAAATTTTAGTGGTAGGTCATGGTGGTATTCAGTTATGATCAATACGATTGTACACAATTTATTTCCTATAAAAACTATGGAACCAGCATGTTGCAGCCGGATTTAGATTTTTCAGCTCATGATACACTTTGACATTCATATGCAGGTGTAATCTTTGTTCATGATCTCTCCCAGAGGAGGACAAAAACTGGCTTACAGAAGTGGGTAGCTGAGATTGCTGCAACTGGGACATTTTCGGCTCCTCTAGGATCTGGAGGTCCTGGTGGCCTTCCTGTCCCATATATTGTTATAGGTAACAAAGCTGATATTGCTGCAAAAGAGGGTACAAGGGGAAGCAGTGGCAATCTTGTTGACGTAGCTCGACAGTGGGTTGAGAAACAAGGTTTGCTTCCATCCAGTGAGGAACTTCCACTGACTGAGAGTTTCCCTGGTGCTGGAGGCCTTATTGCGGTAAGCAGCAGGTTTTTTATTCTTGTTTTTCTTGCTACCCTTTTTCCCTTCTCTATTGACGCTGTAGACATTATATCAATGAAAATGAAATTAGTATATGGTAACTTAGCATTCAATGAATGTGGTTGTGGTTGCATGAGACATGTTTGTAGGCAACTGACCTTGTTTTGCTGTCTCATTGGGTAAAATGCCTCACCTTAGAAAACCACATTTGGGAAGGATTTCTTTTAATAGCTGCTACTATGCTCTCTTTTTTGTTGACTTGGATAGTTTGCAATTTTCGAGCTGCCATGGAACTTTGTACTTGACGTAGAAAGTGACAAAGGGAGGAAACTTCACATGTGTATCAAAATGCTGTTAGATTCTAAGAGCATCTCCAATGGGCTCTCTATATGAGCTCCTAACTAGAATTTAGGGAGGATTTCAAAAAATCAACTCCAATAATGCTCCCTATCCACCTCCTCCTAAGATAGGGATTGATCTAGGAGATCCTAAATATAGGGAGGGAAAAAGGAGCTCCTATTGGCTCTTTATAATTAATGCTAACTGTTTTAATATTATTTCAAATAAATAATTAATTCCTACTGGCTAATTATTGACGCATAGTCATTATGACTCTAAAGTAGGGAGTACGCATAGTCATTAGTGGGCTCCTAAAATAACTTTTTGATAGTTTTAGCTAAAACTTTGCTATAAAATAGAAAGCATGATTGGAGATGCTCTAAGTAGACAGAATTTTAATTAAGTTCTATGACACAAGTAAAATAAGGGAGGAGAGATTCACTCCGGACTTTGGTGTCACAGAGGTTTTCTTGAAAAAACTCCACAGAAGCTAGACTGTTTTGGCGCACCGGCCTTCGGCATCACAAGAAAGTGTCTTGCACACAAGCCAAGTCAACTCATGCTTCACAAATGAGCAGGAAATCACAAGAACTGTGATTCCTTTCATATTAACGTTAAAGGCTTGAAGTAGCCTTTTTTTTCTTTCTTTTTATAGCACCATGTGTACAGAATCACTGAAAATACGTGTAAAAGACATATTTTACCACACTTAAATCCTAAACATGATCATGTAACATACGGATAATCCAAGATCATTAATATGACATGTAGAGTACATGTGTGAATTACATTCATTGCAACAAAAAAGTGTAAAAGCTCTTATATTCTGCTTGTTAGTGGGATGCCCTTATTTTTTAAGCTTTAAGGTTTCTGCCTGCTACTTGGTTTGTTTATTTCTTTAATTCGTACATATACAGGGAAAGTGTTATCTTTCTAAGCTGGCTGATTATCTTTTTAGATTGTGAATCTGGGTAATTGCTCAAATCAATAGTTTTGTGCATCCAAATTCACCACATAAGTCTGGTGAGAGAACACCGTAGGTTCAGCCATGCATTTGGTAGATGTTTATGATCACTAAGAATTCATTTTCTGCACATGTGAACACTAAGAATTCATTTTTTGTTGTTAGTTGTTGTTGTAGACATGCAAAGGATTTTCCTATTTACAGTTGTATCCATGACATTTGGTAGATGTTAATGATTGCTATTTTATTTAATAAATAAGAGAAGAGGATATTAAATATGGAAGCGGGTAGGTACTGGTACTTGAATAAGTATTTTCACAAGTTCACAACTGTAACTCTTTGTTTAGATGCTTGGGTTGCAAGGTCAGAATAGGTTCTTATTGTTTTCTGTCCCATTTACATGTCATTTACTCGGGAATGAGGTTGCTTGTGTTATTCGAAATTGGTGCCATAAACCCACAGAAAATCTTTGCATTATATTCATATCTAATAAATTGGTCTTAAGTTTGGTGCTCTGTGATTAGAGAGAAGTTCAATTCTGGATGTAATAGGCTAAATTTAGTTTGACTAGATTGTGGATCTGCTGTCATGGCCAGGCAAAAGTTTTTCAAACTTTGCACTTTGATCAATAAAGTTGTCTTTTTCTGTGTACAAAAATGAAATGATTTAATTTCTGTTGGAGAATATGATTGCCATGTTGAGGAATCATTGGTAATGTGGAATTACATATGGTTGTTGATCAATTTATTACAGCTGTAGTTATTCTACATTCTAATATATGTTGGTCTATTAAACATTGACAGGCTGCCAAAGAAGCAAGATATGACAAGGAAGCTGTGATGAAATTTTTCCGTGTGGTCTGTATTCATGCTCGTTGTTAGCTTTTTCTTTTTGCCTTATGAAGGATTCCAACTTTTGTCTCGGTTGTTTCAGTTGATCAAAAGAAGATATTTTTCCGATGATTTACCTGCACAGAATCCATGGTCTAGTTCTCAAGTACAAAGACCTGCACAGACTGTAGATGAAAATTGGAGTGACGAGGATCATTCCTACAGGAATGCCAGGTAGGTTCAGCTAGTTACATTGTTCTCCTTAACTTGTTATATTTATCACCATCAATAAATAATTTATGGCGGGTATGCTGGCTCACAAGTGAGATGGTCTTCGTGTGATAAAATGCAAAACAGCGATTCATTGCATTTTGGTGTTCAGATGCGTAAGTGTTGCAGGTCCTACTCTATAACTGTTTCGAATGCTAATCTATAAGTAACCATGGGCATGCCAGTTATATGACAACCCAAGTCATGATGTTTTGAATACTAACCCGTGACTGTTTATTCACCATCATCTCTCTCCTCACAATAGGCTGTTTTACTATGACTGGACGAGTGATGTTTCTTTTTCTTTGTTGGCAGCTTGCGTGCTGATCCTTACAAGTACAACATGCTCCCTCCTCTTCCAGCGCAACGCAATCTGACTCCACCTCCGACACTTTATCCTCAGCAACCAGTTTCGGTTTCTGAAAACTACAGACTTCCTAGGTTTTCCCATAATAGTTACTCAGAAATCAGCAGTGCAGCTAGATCAAAGCGCTCCGATATTAATGTGTAATTGTCATTGCCTCTGGTTAATGTGATTATGTTTTTGCATGAATGAATTCTAGTGTATGCGGCCAAAGTTCATACCATTTTGTTTACCTGTAACACCATTGATTATTTTACTCTATAGGTTATCATTGTAAGTGGCTTTTGTTTTAGGTTAAGTATATATTGATTGATTCATCGACCTGAGTAAGTACAGGCAATTCTTTCATCAACTTCTCTTTGTTTGCAAATTCTTGTCAATTATTTAGTGTTGAGGACATTTTTGTCATCTTCTCTATTCGAAGTTCTCTTTAACTGGCTGGTAAGATACAATGAAATATGTCACGTATATTTTGTACGCATCACACTTATGTCACCCAATTCTACAAAAGTCTGCAGATTTATCATATATCACTCAAAAAATAATTCAATCATGTCACCAAAGTTTTACGCGTTGCCTCACTCACTGGACCACAAGCGCCTTGCCTACACTACCTTGCTCGAGTCTTGAGCAATTACTACTTGACTGAACTGCAACTACGAGGCAACAAAGGTAAATTCAAAGGAATTTTAACGAAAAGTTTTAGGTACTGTTTATTTTAACGAAAAATTATATTTTTACATTAAAAAGTTAATCTTGGTACTATTCACTTTATTCTTTATTTTGTCTTTATAGTTAAAACTTAAAGTTTTCAAACCATTTTCATTAGTTTTCTTTAAATTCAAAACAATATCGTTTATAAATTAAGATAGTAATATCGCATGTATTGAAAATCTTAATAAGTACTAAGACATGCCTTCAGTTATCTTAACCTGAGCTTATTATTATTTCATCGATACGAGGGAACTGAAACTCATACAAGGACAAATGATCCAAACAATTTTAATTGTTCAGTTTCAGAAGAGTATTTAATATTTATACTCTGTAGATTACGTAGAGAGGTTATTGCTGTTGTGGATAATCCGAACCCTTGAATTGAATGAATCGAAGAATGGGTTCCAGTTCATCCATTAATAATAAATCGGAGTGAGCGTTCTGAGTTGCCGGTGGAAGGAAGCTTCAAAGTCTCGTACAAGAAACAATTAATGGATGAAAAGAAAAAGGAGGAGGCGGTGTGCGTGACTGGAGCCAATGGCTTCATAGGGTCGTGGTTGGTCAAGACATTACTGGAAGAGGGCTACACCCGCATCCACGCCTCCATCTACCCTGCCTCCGATCCCTCCCACCTCTTCTCCCTCCCCGGCGCCGACTGCCACACTATCACGGTCTTTGAGGCCGACCTCCTAGACGCCGACGCCGTCGCCAGGGCCGTCCAGCACTGCCAGGGTGTCTTCCACGTGGCTTCCCCCTGCACCCTCGACGACCCCACCGACCCCCAGGCTGAGCTGGTGCTGCCCGCCGTGCAGGGCACCCTCAATGTGCTCCAAGCCGCCTCGAAGTTCGGAGTGAGCCGCGTCGTCCTCACCTCCTCAATCTCTGCCATGGTCCCCAACCCCTCTTGGCCTCCTCACAAGCCCTTCGACGAGTCCTCTTGGACCAACCTCGACTACTGCAAAGCCCGCCAGGTAGTAACTGTGCCCCTAATTAATTCATCATCCCTAATGCTAATTAAGTTACTTTACTTGATGACGATATCATTTATCATCATCATCATCATCATCATCATCCCCAACCCAAATTAAGTTACTTACTTGATGATGATATCATTCATTATCATCATCATCATATATAATTACTTATTCGTAAGAAGAGAAGATGAACAATGAACATCGACATTTTATCCATAATAGTAGTTAACAGTAATAATCTATTAATCTTGGACAGAAATGGTATCCGGTGTCGAAGACAGAGGCAGAGAAAGCAGCTTGGGAGTTTGCAGAGAAGCATGGACTGGATGTGGTAGCCATCCATCCGGCCACATGTCTTGGGCCTCTCCTGCAGCCTAGCCTCAATGCAAGCTCTGCTGTTTTGCTCAACTTGCTCCACGGATCCAACGACACCCAAGAGCATCACTGGTTGGGGGCTGTCCATGTCCAAGATGTCGCCAAGGCACAAGTTTTGCTCTTTGAGTCTCGTGCTGCTTCTGGCAGGTACCTCTGCACCAATGGCATCTTCCAATTCGCTAACTTTGCCCTCACTGTCTCCAAACTCTTCCCTCAGTTTCCCATTCACAGGTAGGTTTGCTGCTTCTAGTTTATTTATTTGCTACATTTTATCCCTTGTGCGTAGACTTTCTTTTTGGATGCCAAAAGGAACACAAAAGAATTTTTGTGGAGGGAAATGGGACTCATAATCATAAATGTGATTGTGTTATATTTTATGGAAGTATTATTTTGCTAGCACTTTGAACTATTATTACCATATACATGCGAAGGCAACGATCTCATTCACTCTGGCGCAACTCATAGAAGATAATCAAACACTTTCGATACCTGTAATTTTATCTTGTTGCCTCATGTAGTTTATGATTACTTGGTTATTCTTCTCTCCTTTTTACAAATCAAATTTTAAGTGAACGCCCAGAGATCCATGAAATCAAATATAAACAAAACTAAAGTTATCATCAGTCAATTTGGACTTGCCTGAGTACAGTCTGAGTTTGTGAACAATATAGACATGTACTGATTAAGATAATGTTTATTCGTGTCGGTTGAATTACTAGTATCGTTATTGTTTTCCTGTCTGTCTGGTTGGCTTGTTCCTTAGAGAAGTAGAAGTAGAAGTAGATGGTAATGTTTGACTTGAACGAAATCCGTACAGGTTTAGCGGGGAAACCCAGCCAGGGCTAAAGGAATGCAAGGATGCCGCAAAGCGATTAATTGAGCTGGGGTTGGTGTTCAAACCAGTTGAAGATGCTGTGCAGGACACAGTGGAGAGCCTCAAAGCGAAAGGCTTTTTGAAGCCGGAAATATCACCATCAAACTCAAAATAGAGATGGCAGCGAACATAATAATAATAATAATAATAACAACTTAGTACTATTTCTCTCTAGTTATGACTTTTATGATTGGTTTATGTTTTGTTTGATAATTGTGATTTATAATATATTTAAAAGTATTGATGAGGGTCAGGTCAGTTGAGTTGGTTGTAAATATGGTTATTGTTTGTTTTAGTTTAGGGAATGAGATGAGTAGCCATTGCCCATTGGCAATTTGATTGCTAAAACGACACTGATGATGTAGAGAGCATGGCATTGGCCAATGGCCACATACAAATACAATACAATTGCAGATGAATGAGAATGAATAAATAGCAGGACAATGAGCTAGGCACGTCACGTGGATTGGGATCCGTTCTAATGTCGTACTAATGAATAATGAGAGAGGTTGTTTAGATCCTGTAACCTGGCAAAGCAGATTGTATTGTATTGTATTGTATTGTATATTTGTATTTGATTTGGATTGCCTGGCGCTCTGGCCCTTAGTTTAGTGTTAAGCCTACCTGTCTCCTCTTGCAATGAGTTATGCATTTTTATGTATTATTATTGTTTGATAAAAGTGGTCACCCAACACTCCATGTGCATCATCTTCCCTACCCCTTACCCTTTACCCTTCACCCACTACCCTTCTATCCTTGTTGTTCTGACAGTGACTTCTTTTTTCATAACAAAGGAATCAATCCATCTGCTATATATTCTTGTATTTTTCTGTTTCTTTTTCTGATTTTTTAGGGGAGAGAGAGAGAGAGAGAGAGAGACGTGCAGGTGCAGGTGCACTTCAATCATGTCATGGTGGAGGTCTCGGTTGGTTCCTCTCCTCTGGCATTTGCATGTGCCCCTAACCAAAAGGCCCACTCGCCAACTTTATTCCACTGCATTTCATTCCATTCCATGTTTCTCCTTTAAGTTAAGCTGCTTCAGCTTGAATTAATGTGAGAAAATAAGCCTCCGTCCACAACCACCAAAGACACGAGATTGATGACCACTACCAGTCCAGCACCTTGCAGCAGCAGCACCACCACCACCACCAACCGTTCCTGGTGTGGCTACTTACTGTTTTATAATATCCATGACTCTGTTTCTAGCTAGTTCCTACTTACTCACATGATACCTGACTCACTCGATCCATTTCCATTTTTTGAATTGATAGGTCCATAAGTGAGGACTCGCTTAAAAGGTATGTGCAGTTTGCAAGCGAAAGCTGCATTCAAGAATTACTGTCTGCTTCCGACTCCAACAGACCCAACGACGGCTGGAAACCCCTCCTTACTCTTGGCAACGGAGTTGAGATCTCCAAACGCAGGTCTGGATCCTTTCACACCTTCCGCAGCCGCTGCCTCCTCACTTCTCTGTCACCCCAGCAATTCATTACCGTTGCAAACGCCATCGATGCTGCCAAGCAATGGGATCCTCATCTTGTAGAAGCAAGGTACATAAAAGATCTTGGAGATAACCTCAGCATCATCCGTCTCAGGTTTGGAGATCATTCAAAGCCCCTCTTTCGAAACAGAGAATTCGTAGTCTACGAGCGACGTGAAACCATGGAAGATGGCACACTGGTGGTAGCAGTTGCTTCACTTCCAAAGGAGATAGCTGCCGGATTGGAACCAAAGCAAAATAACGCCATCAGGGGGCTGCTGCTGCAATCAGGATGGGTTGTTGATAAGCTTCAAGGTCACTCCTGCATGGTTACCTATGTTGTTCAGGTCGCCTCCTTATTTATTTTCCTTTAAAATTTGCAGTTTGCAGAGTATGAATGAATGTTATGAAAACCTTGATCAATTGTTAGTCATATAACTGTAACAGGTTTTCTTGTCATTGTTGAATGAAAATGCAGTTAGATCCTGCCGGATGGATGCCGAGGTGCTTTGTCAATCGACTTAACAACAGACTCGTTATGATCATTGAAAATCTAAAGAAACTGGCACAAGCCTCTCCTCCTACTGATGCCCAAACATCCTGAGATCACTACTACCTACATTGTACAAACTACAAAGTGGAGGAGAAACTTAATCTCCCCTAGTTATCCTTTATTTTTTGGCATACCCTAATTATCCTAGTTAATAATTATGACGATGCCAATTATCTGATCCATTCTCTCTCTCTCTCTCTCTCTCTCTCTCTCTCTCTCTCTCAATTAAAGTTTCATTTGAAGGGGGGAAAAGGAAAGAGAGAAAACAGTCGACCTCTCTTCTTTTTCTCTCTTGTTTCTTAGCTCTTAAGAAAGGATTAATGTTTAGGCGTCCAAGGTTTCTCGGCTTGTATCACACTGATGCCTTGCATACTCTCTCTACTCCTACCCAACCCATCTTCTCTCTTCTTGCCGGAAGTGATAGTTGCAGCACCGCAACCCCTCCCCATCCACCAGATTTCTTATGTACCAATCTATACCGGACTTTTAATCCTGGCCGTTCAAAGAAATCCAGTGATCACTGTCTTTCATGTTTTGGTAACTTAGTCTTCCATCACCACTTCGACCCTCTCCATTGTGCCATGGCTTCCGTCTGCCCACCTCATTCACTCAATCCCTTCTCCCCCATCAACGTTCCTACTCTTTAGAGCTTCAGTTACGCGTGTTCCACATTGCTTCCATTAACTAATAATTTGAATTTTAGCTTAGCTAAACTTTTATGAAGATTGATCTAACGTGCTGCCTGCCTACTTTCTGAAGGTATTTCCATCACTCATTTTTCTCCTCTATTAAACTTGAGATAATTCTCCTCTATCACTACACAATACTGAACAACGGCATTGGCAACAGTATCCCCCCATGGGAAACTACGAGACAAACTGAAATATAATTCAAGTACCAATGAGTTCTCACCACACTCCAGAACACCCTGAGTGAAGGACAAATTGGAAAAACTCCATTTCATCCTGGGTTGGATTCGTGTAGTTGGGAATTCTTCTCTCGTTAAGAATACACACACAAAATCATATAGCCAACATGTGTGTGTGTGTGTGTAATAAACCCGATTGCTAGGCAACTGATAAGTCATTGCATCAACAATACAGGAAGCTGTATCCTCCAAGTACACAGGATGTGTACTTCAAATGACTATTTTGACAGGCATTCCAAACCATTACATCACTCAACAATTCAACCACAACATTCTACAGATTCATCATTATTCCATCATGGGATAACCCTTATTTGGACGGACCAACACCTGAGTGCTTTACAACATTTCAAATGCTTCAGCTCAGACCATAATTGTTGACCCTTTATTTTGCACTTTGGGATGGATACGCTTCATCTGAATTAAAAAAGGGAGTTTCAGAAGAATGGAACTGACGAATTCAAATAGGGTCCCTGAAGCACCAATCAACACAAAAGCAACAATAGGCATTTCTTTCGTATGGTGCCTCACGTATTTGTCAAATGCCAGATTTAACCAGAACATTAGATATCTGCCTTTACTTTAACCAAGAGAGTAACTTATGAAACGTTAATTCAAACCTCTTCAACCCAATTGTTTAACTATGAAGAAGGAGCATCCGGCTGCTTTTCTGGTAAAGCATCTAGGAATGCTGGTATCTTATTGTATGCCTCATGCAACCTGGCCAAAAGGGGAAACTGAGTCTGCACAAACATTGAGTGAAAAGAGATTAATCAGAAGATACAGATGGAGAAAGCCACTTGAAAGTTAGACTATAAATTCTTAAAAAACTGAAAACCCTTAGCTCTAACAAGCTCAGTAAGAGATGAACACAGGTTCACTACACTGAACACATTGAATAGACTTCAAATGTCAACCTAGGCCTTGAACTAGTACAATTGAGTTCTTCGCACCACCCCACCTCCTAAATAACTAGGAAATGATACAAACCCCTAATTAATGACCACTATAATTTCCACGATATAAACCGAGCCCCTGTAAGTACCTTATTTATGGTAAACCTACCATGATATAAACCCCTAATTAATGACCACCATAATTTCCACATCAATGTGAAAAGCTACCATTCGTATCATAAGAACAGATGTGCAGATCAAAAACGAGCAGTGACTGATTCTTATGATAAAAAATATAGCTAGAATAAAAGAGACAGGTTGCTCTTGAAAGTTGAATCAGATAGGAACTTGATTTCTGACCTAAAAGGGACAACAACTTGATCATGTGATGGAAACATTACAACACCACAAAATTGGATTAGTTTCCATCATCACGCGAAAAGGGGAAAAAAAAAAAAAAAAGAAGAAAAGAAGAAAATTGTTATGATACAAATCAGATAAATTTAACATTACACAATCACGTGAATAAATGTTCATTTGCTAGAGTTGTAACTTGCACAAGAATCGAATGATAAGTACCATGTCTAGCTGGAACCTTGTAATGGCTGCACAAAGCTGCGGTGCCAGAAACAAATCTGCCTGCAAATATTTGTCAATATTTTAGAGATAAAGAATTTCACACTAACACTTGTTCTGTGGAACATTATGAAGTGACAATGCCGTGCAAACATGCCACTCAAATTTTAGAGTTCATGTAAGGACTTTTTGAAAATCTAAATCACAAAACTTCCACAGATTTTCCAAAAATCTTGATTGAATACCACAAGACTTGTATGGAATCTCTAAAAATTCTAGAAATTGTAATTGAATACCACAAAACTACTGACTCTTCAATAGTCTACATCATATATACACCTAAACTTCTTAACTCCACAAACTTTCTTGCAAAATCCATCAATTTCCATATAATCTCATACTTAATGAGACTCTTAGTACTTCTAGGAGTGTTTGGCAGTCCTATTTAGAGTTGGCAAATCAACCCATTGGATTGTTAATGGGTACCCATTATGACTCATTTAGTTTGATTTTACCTTACGTCATCATCATCACTACCAATCTCATCCTTATATTGTGGTGATATCAAATTAAATGGGTCTTGACGGATACCCCATTAACAACCCAATAGGTTAATTTGCCACCTCTAGTCCAATTAGAAGCCTATAAATATGTATATCTTTTGGTGCCTCGGTATGTCCTTTCTTCTCTCTTCACTCCTATTATTCTTTTTCTTCTTTTTTTTTTTTTTAAGTATATTGATATTTTTACACTAAGGGCAGGGGGAGTTTGGCTAAGCCACACAATGGGCAGTCTAATTTGGTATCGAATTTACCATCCACGAGATTCGAACCTAACCTCCTATTATTCTTTATTTCTCTAAAATTATAGAAACCCAAAACATTCATTTCCCTTAAAACTTTCTATATCCCCAAATTTCCGTCAATCCATAACATACCATAATCAAGAAATCCAGTAACCTTAAACCTGCCTCATAAATGGTTTCTTTTCTGGTTATTGACTCTAGTTTTTGGGTCATATTATTTCAAAAAGTTTCTAAAAGTGTTCTTATTTTCCAACATAGAAAAGGATTGCGAGTCTTTTTTTTCTTTTTTTCTTTCTGAAAAGGAAGAATAAAAAAAAGAGGACAAAATGAGCAAACAGACCATGTAAACTTCATCTCCAGTTGCATATTTTCCTGCATGGTTGTTCAGCAGTTCTTCAAGTGCTGAAAGACATGAAAATAGCAGATAATTAAGCCTACAACCATCCATAGAAAAGAACAACTGAAGACAGGAGTTTCATATATTGTAGGATTTTCCACAGAAAATAAAATTGTGGTTTGACAAATCACACATTTGGGATGAGTTGAGGGATAGAGACGCAAGTTTGAGGTGGAAATATCATTATATCTTTTCTAGGGTATAGAAACTTTGGGCGAGAGTAAGAGCATAGACTAAGGCAAGAGACACGGGTCTTAGACAATAAATTCGGGTTTATGTCAGGGCGCTCGACTACGGGGGCAATTTTTCTCTTACAGAGATCATTTGAACGACATAGAGATATGCAAAAGGATTTGCACATGGTCTTTATAGATATGGAAAAAGTGTTTGATAGGGTCCCAAGAGAAATTATTTGGAGGATTCTAGAGAAGAAATGAGTACAAGTAGCATATATCCAAGCAATAAAGGATATGTGTGAAGGAGCAAAGACTCCAGTAAGAACTCATGAAAGACAAACTGAAAGCTTTCCCATAACCATAGGATTACACCAAGGCTCAGCTTTAAATCCTTACCTATTTGCATTGGTGATGGATGAGTTAACGAGACATATTTAAGATGATATCTATTGGTGTATGTTTTATAGAAAATATAGGGTTGATAGATGAAATGCAAGAGGTAGTAAATGCAAAGCTTAATGTTTGCGGGAAGTGTTGGAATCTAAAGATCTTCAACTAAGTAGGTCAAAAGACATAGCATATAAAGTGCAAGTTCAGTGGGAATAGGGGTCCAAATGAGAAAGGAGTGAGGATTGAATAACAAGAAGTACCAAAGAGTGAATGCTTTCATTATCTTGGATCTATGTTGCAAAGAACGGAGAATTGGATGGATAGCTTAACCATTGAATACAAGTTGGATGGATGAAGTGAAATAGTGTGACCATCTTATGCCACTAAAGCTTAAGGAAAAGTTTTATAAGACGACAATAAGAGCAGGGCGGTCAAGCAAACGTGCAAAAAATGAGTGTAAAGGAGATAAGAATGCTTCGTTGGATGTGTGGCAACACAAGAAAGGACATGATTAAGAATGAGGATATCAGAGGTAAAGTAGGAGGGGTTGCAATTGAAGATAAGATGAGAGAAAATTGGTTAAGGTGGTTTAGATGTATGAACCCAAGACCTACAGATGCTCCAATTAGAAGATGTGATTATGAGACATGGTCAGGGCAAAAGGGATAGAGAAAGACTAGGAAGACTTGGAAAGAAACTCTAAGAAAAGACATGGAGTACTAAGAGCTAATGGAAGACTTGGCGCAAAATTGAGCACAGTAGCGTTCTAGGATTCACACAGCCAACTTCACTTAGTGGGATAAAGCTTTGTTGTTGTTTGTTGTTGTTGTAGAGTATAAGAACTTTAAAATGAAAAAGGTGTCGTTATTTTTAAAAGTGTGGCATCATCTGCGAAAAATCCTTATTTAACTTTTAATGCTTTCTTGAGATTCTCTTTTTCAGGGGAGGGATGGACCATTAGCTTTGTAAATCTTACCTAAAAAGCCTTTTCCAATATGAAATTGAACCCATTCAAGTTTCTCAACGGGCCTAACTTTTTCTTCAATGTACTTCTGTAAATTGGAAAAGCAGCAAAACAAGATCCATATCATTTAGGTTATATAATAGTAACATGAGAAGTAAAGTCAATATTATATTCAGCTAATTACCAGTACAGTCAGATTCTGTAGAGGTTGTATGCTTGAGGAAACAATATTTGCAGCCTGCATATCAGATGAGGAGGGACAAGCTAATAGCATAAGAATTTTGAACATACATTTAAAATCTTACATATTTTAGATAAATTTACGCATACTTTTCTTTTTTGTTTTTGGTCAGAACGGATCAGAACGGATCAGAACATGTTCCACAGTTACACTTGGAAACTTAAACTACTAATACTATATCATACTTTTTTCCTTGGTTGAATTAGCATCACTCAGCGTTTTAAACACAATATAGTAAGCACCAATACAGGTGAAACTAATTTTCCATTCCTCATAATCACAATAAAGCAACTGTTCCACATCATGTGTGTAGGCCATCACATACTCATTAATGCAGTTCTGGGTAAGTTGCACATGTTTTGCAGCACAATTACTTGTATTGCACCAAGAAATTGAGTCACTCCGCCAATTTTGAAGGCATTGAGTGCATGATCCGCTCAATTAGTTCTAAATGGAAAAACACAATATAACGGGAGGGGAGTTTTCAAGGACTATATGCATACATCTTTTTTTGTTTGGTAACTTTGGTTTCTTTCTCTGTTGCATTTTTGGTTTCTTTCTCTGTTGCATCGGTAATACTAATAGTTGAGAAAAGGAATGAATAATTAGAAAGAGAAGAGAGAAAGAAGCAGTTAGACCTGACCTGGTAATTGATAGCCTTTTTCTGAAGATCTGGTGGTAACAATGGATGCTGCGGGTACTTTTCTTCTAAATACTAGACATAAAGAAGAAGATTAATGCAATGCAATGGAATATTAGGTATTTGGATGGAGGAGAAGCAATCAACAAGAGTAATAAGAAGATAGAGGAGAAAGTAGAAAGAAGAGGGTACCAATTACCAGTAGGATGGCAAATGAGTCAGCAACAACGGTGTCCCCATCCACAAGCACAGGCACATACCCCATCGGATTTAGCTTTCTGAACTCTGCTTTATCCAAATTACAATAAAAAATATAGACAAAATTACAATAAATGAGTTAGTTGTTTGTCAATTGTCAATGGAGGGAGGGACTAGACTAAACTAACCGGGACTGAATTGCTCTCCCTTCACCAGAGCTTTGTACTCGTATTTCAGCCCTAATTATTATTAATTCAATACATATTAAATTATTACATGAATGAACCAACAAATGAACGAATATTTACTTCTTTAGAAAGAAAGAAAAAAGAAGGAAAATTGACCCTTCAAGTTGAGAGCAATTCGGACACGGAAGGAGCAAGAGCTCATCCAGTAGGAATAAAGCTTGAGTTGTTGTTGGCCACTTTCAGTCGCCGCCTGCGCCTCCACCTCCTGTGCTTCCATCTTATCATTTGTTATCGTTATCTATCAAATCAAACAAATCAATCAACCGAATATTCATCGAACACAGAAAAGAAATTCACTCACCATTTAATTACTTAAACGCAGCAGAGCAGCATCAGCCTCGGCCAGCCCAGCAGTTTTCAACTTTTGATGTTTGACAGACAGATTATTCGATTACTGAGTTTTGAGTTTTGACAGATAATTCTACTTTGTTTGACTTACATTGGTTTCTTGCCGTTTGCGCAATTTTTTTTCTTTTTATTTATGGGATGTTTTCACACACTCATTTTTATTTATGGGATAACAAGCAAGTATTTATAAAAACGCGAGTCACGACAGTGTTTCAAGTTTGAAGATTCTACGCAATTAAAAATGATTGTTTTACTGATACTCCAGGAATTGTTCAATGGATAATGCTAAGGAAATTAATTTTTAAATTAAATTTATAAATTAAATTATGTGTCATCATACAAAAATAAACACATTAATTGATACTTAAATAATAATTTAATCATCTACAATCATATTATTTGATATGCAAGTTTGATTTTAAAAAAATTAGTTTTTACCTTATCACAAAATTCCTAAAATTGACCTACCCTATCAAAATGGTCTAATAAAATTGAAAATTGAAAATTGATCAATGTAATTCTTGAAAATGTGTCCCGCAAATCAATTTAGTACTTCCGTAATAATTCTGTAAAAGTTTCTGTTATGTGTTGATGTGGCCCATAATTAGATTCCATAACTTTAACTTATAAATAAAAAAAATCTTTTATTTTTATATAATTAAAAACTTAAAAAATATATATATATAATGATGAACTGGGAACTCTGCAGCTCGACTGCCTCGACAACAATGGCGGAAATCTCCACTTTCAGATATTCCAGACGTAAAAAAAAATGCCGATGCGAAGGCCATTATTCAAATTCTGCAAAAAACCTGAATTAACTTTTCTTTCTTCTTCCAAAGATTTTTCATTCCTTCTGCTTTCCACTTTCCCTCTTCGTACAAAAATGGCAGCAACATCGCGTTCTTTCAAGTCCAATTTCCAGGAGGAGAGAGCGGTTGCTCTCTGTCCAGAAGGGCTACTCCTACTCCGAGCTGGGTGGCTTCCCCACATCGAAGAGTAAGACGCCGTTGGGGTCTCCCCGCTGTTGCACTTATCGATCAGTTGGGCACGAGAGTGGTTATTCGCCTGCCACGTCAGTAGTTATATATTAACAGATTTTTTAATGGAAGTCTAACGTTCAACAAATTCATAAGACAAGACTATTGTAATTTTTAAACATGAGATATGAGATTGTCCTCGCAGTTAAGTTAAGGTAATTTTGTGTAATTTTTTTATTTATTTAAATATTTTTATCTTATTTATAGGACCTAATTACGTGCCACGTCAACACATAACGAAAGTTTTGATAGATTATTTGCAAATGGATTACATTAATCAATTTTCAATATAAAAAAAATTATTTAGAACGTTTTCTATTTTGTTTCTTATGATGAGGACTGGGGTGCAATTTCATGCAAGCATATATGATTGCAGAAATGAGAAGCTGGAAGGGCACATTCAACCAGCAGACTCCTCTGCTTTGTAACTGCTAAATTGTTGCCCTATCACGAATTATGATTATTTCCCGGGTAACCTTTACTCGGACAAAGAAATCGAATGACAAAATGAGGATAACTAATTTTTTAGGGTTCCTTTTGAAGAGTTGATACAAAAATTCCACAAGAACTCCAAAAAAACATAATATGAATCTTGATGTAGGACAAATTTTCAACCTTGAAGCAAACACAATTTCAAACTTAACCACTTACATTCTGTTTGGATGAAGAAATTTAAGTTTATTATGGAATTATAAAATGAGGAAAATTGAAATGACATAAATTTATTTTGTAAAATTTGTTAAGTTTCTTATTTAGTTAATCTAAAAGAACAATGGAATTGGATACGGAATTTGTTATTTTTAAACTCTTGCTCATATAAATTGAGAAATGACACCTATTTACATAAAATTTAAACTTGGAATTGGAGGTCTCAAATTTCAAGTTTTTTTTTTTTTCCACGCGCAAGTTTTAAATTTCTATATTTATGAATCTAAATAACGGAATTGGTTCATGTCAATTTATAAATTCTGACTTTTGTCAAAATTTTAAGTTTATTTTTCTCGTCCAAACATAATATTGAAGTTTTTGAAAATTTCTACACAACCAGACAACATATGAAGTGGCATGCAGAATTATGCACGGTGTGTTTGTGGTAAAGACAAAGGTTTGGAATTTTTTCTGACCACAGGAAAACTTGAGATTGGTTTGGCGTGTAAGGTGTGTGGAGAATGTGATGTATGAGGGTTGTTTTGGTAAGCAAGTGGGGGTGTATTTAGATTATTTTTTAATTTAAAAAAATAAGTGTGGAGTGTTTTAAGCAAATGGGGTTTATTCAACAATATATGAGGAATGCTAAAAAAAAAAAAATTATAAAAAAAAACTCATTATAAAAAGTGTTTTTTTCCCTATATAATCCACTGGCACAAAGTAATTGAATTGTTGGGGTCATTAGCGAATTCATATCAGCAAAAAAAAAAAAAAAGAAGCTTGGACGAAATCCTATCATGGAATGGCACTGATGTTAGGGTAAATTATACAAAATTGCCTTAATTATGGATCACACAATAATTTTATATCTCATATTTTAAATATTGTAATGTCATATTTCAATTTATGAATTCGTTGTAATGTCAGACCACTATTAATCAATCTATCAAATGTACTGTTAAGTAATGACGTGATAAATGTAAGGTCCATATTTTTCTGACGTGGAAGATCATGTAGATAAAAATAAAATTATAAAATAAATCAATTTAAAAAAATAATTTTATGCCCAAAAAATTAAATAAAGAGGAGTGGGACCCACCCCAACAAACCATCCATCTTCGCCGTTCTTCCCCTCCATCCGCCCTCACTTTCCTTCCTTCACGACCAAAACCACAGCCCCGCGCCTCCTCCGACACCCCTCCTCCTCGTGTATTCCAATTCCAACCAAAACCCACAATTCAGATTCATGATTTTACTTCGATTTTGAATTTCATTTAAAAAAAAGCATAAACAAAGTTTACTCAGATGGTGCTTCGTCCTCTCGACGAGGGTTTTGCCATCCTCACCCTTCTTCCCCCTCTATTCCTGAGTGCATGCCGCACCCCACCATCCCCTTTCTTCCCTCACACTTATTTTTCTCTCTCGCCACGCCAGCACCCAGAACCACCATCCCACGTCGATGAATCCCGCCGCAATTGAAGCTAGAGCCGCCAACATAGTCACCATCTCGGCAGCTACGATCTCGAAAGGTTGACGACGATGGTGCTCAGGAAGAAGATGGACATGGTTTTGGAGGTGAGCGTGGAGGTCTGGACGAGAAGAGATCGTTGTCGGCGAGAGAAGTTGTCTTCGCACGCTACCGCAAAACTTTGGTTGAGAGGGTCAAGCACCACCTGGTAAGTTTCGTTTGTGCATTTTTTTAATGAAATTTGAAATCGAAGCAAAAATTTTGAATCTGAATTGTGGGTTTTAGTTGAATTGGAATTGCAGGAAGATGAGAGGTGTCGGAGGAGGAGCAAAGCTGTGGTTTTAGTGGTGAAGGAAGGAATGAGGGGTATATGGAGGGGGAAGAAGGGCGAGGATGGATGGTTTGGTTGGGGTGGGCCCCACTCATTTTTATTTAATTTTTAGACAAAAATTATTATTTTTGTAAATTGATTTTATTTTATAATTTTATTTTCTTATCTACGTGGTCTTCTACGTTAGAAAAATATGAACCCTGCATTTACCACGTCATCATTAACGACCAATTTGACGGATTGATTAACGAGGGTCTGACATTATAACGAATTCATAAGTTGAGGTATGATATTACAATGTTTAAAATATAAGGTATGAAATTGTGATGCGATCTATAGTTGAGGTAGTTAAGTGTAATTTACCCTTGATGTTATAATGGATCAAGGTTGACAATGTGCTACCATAATAATTTGGTTTGAAGTTGTATTTAGTGAGAATCGGATATAAGACTTCTCATTTACAAGTAAAAAAAGAATTATCACTAAATCATATTATTAAATGTGAGATACTCATTTTCAAGGATGACAATGATCGAAATCGAAATGGCTTATTTACTCCAACACCCCCTAAAACTCAACCTTCCACTCATTGTCCCAAGAAATTCAAAATTTCTCACTTGACCCCCTAAGTGTATGTGTCGCACTTTGCCCATACATGACGTGCTGGTGACCCATACATCCAAAAAGATAGCACCCGATAGATATAATGAGACAATTTGTAAAACTATAAAAAAAAAATAAAAATAAAAAAAAGAACTAAAAGCAAAAAAAAATTTGTAAACAAACAAACTAGTGTTGTAAACATTCCTAGTTTAAGTGTGATTGTGTAAATCCTAGATTAGATTTGATTCTAGTTATCTTTTCCTATTGTATCTTGTATTCCTTGGGAATGAAGGAATATCTTCTCTCCTTTTACTACTATAAATAAAGGCACAATGTAGGAAGGATAACAACACACATTCCCCTACAATTCTACAAACACATCTCTCTCACTCTCTTCTCCTTGCCGCCGGCCACCATAACCTTGTCAGATAAAATAGACCACAAAAACAAATATGAAATTAATAAAAACAAAAGACAAGTATGAAATTTTTCTCTTTAGCTTGAGAAAGAGTAGAGGGGTTGGATGTGACGAAGGATGCATTGGTTGGGCCTTAGTTGCGGCGTCTGTATTTGCTGCTGATATTCTTTTTTTTTTTTTTTTAATTTTGTTTTAGCTTGTGTTTATCCACGTGACAATATGTCTTTAGTTGTAGGGACCTCACATAAAAACCATGTCAGCACATTAATTGAAAATTTAACATAACTTAATAGCAAAAAAGCTAAATAAAAAATAAAATTGAGAGAAGGTTGAGTTTCAGTGAGATACATAGTCAATATTTAGTGACTAAAATTGAGTAGGTGGCCAATTTCAAAGACCATGTGGTAAAAAGCATACAAAATGAAAAGCAATCCCAACCCAGAGGCCCCAAAGCCGTAAAAAAAATCCAACGGCCTCCTTCCCTCCATGTCCTCTATCCTTCTCTCTTTTCCCCCTTCCGTTGAGCTAGCCCTGAGAAACTCTTGATACTCGAGGGCTCATGACTCAAGGGTGGGAATGGGGCTGGTTTCTTCGTGGGCTCTTCTTTGACAATTAATATTTGGATTGGACACGTGTAGGCTTTAGGCTGTAGGATTAATTGGGTCCGTTGGGAGTTAATAAGTTGATGGGGGATTGCCATTGGGGACTGCAGGGCCAAAAAATCAGGTAGCTAGGAAGGAGACAAAGGAAATACGAGGCCAGCCGCCAACCACAGGATCTCTGCTCTCACCTCGATCTCAAGTGTTACTATCCTGATCCACAACAAAAGTAAGGTACACATAATATTTCATATTTGAGTGGTTGTTGGTTTTAGAATCATATGCTTCCTTGCTTAATTATATCCTTACAACAACTAATTAGTATAGAGAAAATGAAAATTTAAGGGAATATCTGTTTGTTTGTTTCGTTATTTCTTTTTGTGTGGGTATCCTTGAGTTGCGAACATCAGCCATTCATCCTTGCTAGTTACCGAAAATTGATGGTGCTCTGCTCCAGGGTTTCCATGCTAGACAGACTCACTTTAGTGTGGTAGACTCTAGTGTGTGGACTACGGAGTGGCAGGATATTAAAAATCCTCAACTCCCCTGCCGTTTTCTTTTTTCACATTAATATTCTTGATTATTACCGAGAAGTCTGAAGTGGTATTATAGGGGGACGATTCTCTTTCCTTTTAATCTCTTTTCTCTTTTATCTTCTCTTATTTGAACGATCAAGATTAAGTTATGTCATCATCTTATATTGATTTTTTTTAAAAGACAATAAGACAGAAATAAATATGTAAAAAGAAAGGAGGGAAGATGATGAGAAAATAAAAGAAGAAAATCCTGCTACGTGGTACTGGTAAATAATAAATATTAGGGTAAAGTACAAAAAACTACCTCAACTATTGGTGTCATAACACTTTCATACCTCATCTTTTAAAATTGACAATGTCATACCTCATCTTACGAATTTGTGCCAATGTTATACCTTCCGTTAGCCTACCGTTAATTTATCAGTTAAATGCTGATGTGGCTTAATCCATACCCCACTTTCTATTAAAAAAATTAAAAAAAAATCATTTAATATTTTTAAATATTAAAATAATAAAAAAAAGTTAAAACAAAAAAAATAAAAAAAATAAAAACCTTTCATCCCATCCACCGCCTTTCCCCCTTTTCCCTCTCCCCATCATCTTCTTCCCTGCGTGATTCAACCAAAAAAAAAAAAAAAAAAAAATTTGAAAACCCATCAACCCCCAACCCCCCCGAAGAAGAAGAAGAAGAAAAAAAAAAAAACCCAACCCAGTTCATCCATCCTCCCCCCCAAAAAAAAAAAAACACAAACCTAGTTCGTCCCCTCTCAAAACAAATCCAACCCCCTGCCAACCTAGAAAGAAAAAGGAGGAGGAAGAAGAAGAAGAAGGTAAAAAAAAAAAAAAAAAACCCAAATCCCGTTCGCCGATTTTGCGAGGGGTGGGTGCGGAGGGTGCATGTGAGGGGAAGACGAACTGAAATTTTTTTTTTTTTCTGGGTTGCAGGTAGGGGCTCGGGTGGGGGAGAAGAGGGGGTGGGGGAATGGGGGAGAAGAAAGAAGGACGCAGGGGGGGCGGGGGCCATTGGGAAGGGATGAAGTTTTTTTTTTTCTTTTCTTTTTCTTCTTTTGTTTTCTGGGTTGCAGGCTTGCAGCAGGGGGAGGGATGGAGGGAGGAAATGGTTGTTTTGTTTTGTTTTTTTTTTGTTTTGTTTTTTACTTTTCTTTATTATTTTAATATTTAAAAATATTAAATGATTTTTTTTTAGTTTTTAATAGTATTTTATTAATTTTTTTAATAGAAAGTGGGTCCTGAATCAAACCACGTCAGCATTTATAACATTGATACAATTTCGTAAGATGAGGTATGACATTGTTAATTTTAAAAGATGAGGTATGAAAGTGTCGTGACACCAATAATTGAGGTAGTTTTTTGTACTTTACTCTAAATATTAACACTTGCAGCATCAGTTGTCAGTGCTACAAGCCTACGGGAGTACATACAAGTACGCGACTAGTTGCAACTTACATGCCACTATTTTCATCATTTCTCTATTTTTTTCTCAGTTTCATATTTGTGGGAAGCATTTGCTTCCTTCCTACCGAGCAAATAAGGATATTGTTAAAGAGATTAAATTTATAAATAAAATGTTATAAAATAAATAATATAGAAGTTGACAATTAAATTATTACTTAAACGTTAATAAACGTGTTAATTTACATATATTTTAGTTTACAAATTTTATTCATAAACTTTACTACTTAGCATTACCAGTAAATAATATCAGACGGAGTAGAAGCATTAGTAGTCCACAAATTTCTGTAGTTGCATCATTTTCTCATTTGTTGAAAATATCCTTTAAAAAATACCTGGTTCATATGACAACGCGGTCCACAACTTTGGATGCTTCCCACCTCTCTACCCCCCCCCCCCCCCCCCCCCCCTCTCTCTCTCTCTCTCTCTCTCTGTGTGTGTGTGCAATGTGTTCAATGTTGTGAATCCCATATATATTGGCAGGCCTATGGCCTTCTGGGTTCGCTCAGTGGACAGACTGAGGTTGCTGGAAAGCTTTAGTCGGGAGCATTAAGCAAGTTTGAGAAAGAAATAAATTAATTTGGGCCATGGATAACAAGCAACCCCTTCTTCTGAGCCAAGGATTTGGAGGACATGTTAATTATTATGTCAATCTCAGGAAGACATCTCTTTCTGTAACCTTTGCAAAATGGATCCTCAAGATTGCCATGTGGGTGCTTTTCATTTCATGGGTTGCTCTAATGTTTCTGTTCCCATCAGATTTCATGCAGAAATTATTTCACAAATCGATCCAAGCCACTCAAGGAACTGTTTTTGGGATCACAGGTGGGCAGCGTTTCAACTTCTTTTTTACATGATTCTTCTTTCTCTCTCTCTCTGACTTAGAGGTCTCTTGTTATATATGCAGGAAGCCTATTCCTGGTTTTCAGTAGCCCAATTCTCACTATTGCACTGCTTTCTATAGCATTTCTTATTATCTCTGGCGAAGAGCAGCTCCACGAGTATGTCTATTTTTAAGTTGGAAAATATTCATATTCTTTACCTATCCTATAGATTGAATATGCGTGTTTTCATTCATGTTTTGATCATAAGATCCTTGTGTGTAATTAATTTATGAGTGTAGGAACAAGACTTCAAAATGTCCGAGTTTCCGCTTATGGACGTTCCCAGTTCTTGTGGATGGACCATTTGGGGTTGTTTCTGCTGCCGAGTTTATCGGGATATTACTCTTTGTTGTGTATGTTATCTGGGCTGTCTACAGTTATATCACGAGTATTCTCAGCTCCATGTCTGATCAGTTAACTTTTAAAGTGCAAAGGTATATTGTTTATCCCTAGAAAGTTATCCAATTTAATGACTTTTACACTTTGTTGTTGTTACTATCCATGGACGGTCTTGCTTCATTGAAAGCTTTGTTTAATCAATAAAAAAAACAATATTTAAGCCATCATAAGATTTGTCTGGGTTTTACTGTTTTAGTTAAAGTTCCAAATTGATGCACATTCATTCATCTAGGTATTCAGGCTTTTTAAGCCGAAACGCCTCTCAGTAAAGTTAATTAATTTAAATGGTTGAGAATCTAATCTTCTAAGGTGGCAACCCTATCTTCAGTTTAAGATTGGTTTCATTACCTGAGTTAACTTGTACTTGAACTTGTCAGTTGTTTGTTCCTGGAAATATTGGGACTTCGTTTAGGCTCAATTGGGATGTTTTGCCTGGCACTTTTGTTCCTACCGGTTGCAAGGGGATCAGTTCTTCTTCGACTTATAAATATACCTTTTGAACATGCAACAAGATATCATGTATGGCTGGGACATCTCACCATGATGCTCTTTACCATCCATGGACTGTGTTATGTAGTGGCATGGACGATCGAGGGCCGTCTCCTCCATGAAGTGAGTACTCAAGCTGGATATACATATTTGCTTCTAAGTAATCCTAGTTGTTGTTCATAGCTCTTAGCTGTTAGCTAAAATTAGGGGATAATTTAGAGAATACAGCTACTTCCTCCCTTTTACCATTATGACATTTTTTTTTCTCAATGGACCATGCATTCCAATCCGTCAGGATACCTCAATGTTCTGAAATACTTACTGCTTATAAGTGTATTAAATATATTAGTGTACATGTATCTCTCATCTCTAGTAGTATAACTTGGAAGAGCCTTGCTACGGGGAGGTGTAGACTCAGATAACGATGCCGAACTACTTATTACTTATATTTAATTGTTTGATGCAGATGTTGGATTGGAAGGATATTGGTATTGCCAATCTTCCAGGATTGATCAGCCTTATCGCAGGTCTGTTGATGTGGGTCACATCACTTCCTCCAGTAAGAAAGCTGAATTTTGAGTTGTTCTTCTACACTCATCAACTATATGTCATCTTCGTTGTCTTCTTGGCTTTGCACGTTGGTGATTTCATTTTCACGATGGCTGCTGGAGGAATATTCATTTTTATTCTTGATCGTTTTCTGAGATTCTGCCAATCTCGAAGGGTTGTGGATATCATTTCAGCGAAATGCCTTCCATGTGGAACTGTAGAATTGGTCCTCGCAAAACCAAAATGTAAAAAAAAATTCTTCACACATTTTTTTATTTCATTTATCATTTTCTGTTACCAAATGAGTGACTGCTAGCTCATGACTCATTTAGGTCTGCGGTACAATGCCCTCAGTTTTATTTTTCTTCAAGTTCGGGAATTATCATGGTTGCAGTGGCATCCTTTCAGTGTTTCATCCAGTCCTTTGGATGGTAAATATCATATTGCCGTCCTCATAAAGGTTCTAGGGAAATGGACAGAAAAACTGAGAGGAAATATCTTGAAAAACTCAGAGGCAGAACACCAAAAAGAGCTACCTTGGACTCCTCGTGCTAAGATAACAGCTTCTGTTGAGGGGCCTTATGGGCATGAGATACCGTACCACTTGATGTACGTACTCTATTCCTTATTCCTCTAGAAAGAAAGATAAGCTATTTTGTCCACTCTCCACAATCCCCCTCCAAATCTCCCAAAAAAAAAAAAAGAAAAAAGAATAATAAATATCAACTATCATAACATTTTGGCAAGGAATTGTATCTGATACAGGCTATTGTTTAATGTTCCTTATTTTGGGATCAATAGAGGAGAATTTACCAGACATCTAGCTCAATAATGAATTTTTCTTTCTGTATCTAACTATATGAGTTTATATAATTTATCTCAGGTATGGAAATCTTATCTTAGTAGCTGGTGGCATTGGGATTTCACCTTTCCTGGCCGTCTTGAGTGACATTCTCCATTGCGTTAGGGAAGGGAGACCTTGTATACCAAGAAATATTTTAATTGTTTGGGCTGTCAAAAGATCAGATGAGCTTCCACTTCTTTCAACAATTGACATGGAGTCAATTTGTCCATCTTTCTCTAATAAACTAAATATTGAGATTCGTATTTATGTCACTCGAGAATCTGAACCTCCATTGGTATGTTTGGTTGCATTTTGACACATTTTCCGAACTTCTGCATAATTTTTTGTTTTTTCTACTGTTATCATTTCCAGTTTTAGGAGCTTGAGTGCTTTTTATTTTCAGGAAGAAGGTCAAGTTCAGAACACTCTGGATTTTTCTCTTTGTCCTACATCGAATAGGTGCGGCATGTCTGTTTTGGTTGGTACTGGACATAATGTATGGTCTGGACTGTATATAATCTCATCTACGGTTGGCTTTGTTATCTTAATGGGTTTATTGGATACCTTCTACATAAACCCGTTTCGCATATCTTCATGGTGGTACAAAGGGCTTCTTTTCATTGCCTGTATGGTGTTTAGTGTCTTTATCTTTGGGGGTCTTGTGGTTGGTTTATGGCATCTTTGGGAAAGAAGAATTTCAGAAAAAGAACAATTTGAGGATGCTAAGCTAAATGCAGATAAGGCAGGGCATGGAGAAACTGTAGCTCACAAGGATTCGCACCAGAAAGTTCTTGCGAAGCTAACTGGCATTCGTTATGGTGCAAGACCAAACTTCAAAGGTATGCCTCCCTACATGTCTATTTCTGTTCTAATACACAATACATGAAGTTAATGAGAATGTAGATAGTTAAAAAGCTAGTTGATAACTGAAGATAATGGCATGCCACAGATACAAGTGAAACTTGTTCATTGATATTTTGAAGAAGTTTGAAATGAAACAACTATAATTTCTTCTTGGTAGCTTCATATTTTTGAGGTGGCGGCATACCATTTTGTATCGGCTTCTACTTTGTGTTGTCCTCTTTCGTTTGCCCGGTAACAATCTAGAGAAAAATATCTTATTAGCTTGTGATGGTGGTGGATTCTTGTTCTGCAAAGCTCCATTTGATTTCATTGCCACATAATAATGAAGAACCAGAGAGACTGATCCTTTGACCAATTATTATAGAAGAAAATTATGTCCTTTGGGTACGTAATAATTTCCATTGCTTACAGTTAAGTTAATACATGCTTTCTTGTTAGTGCAGAAATATTTGAAAGCGTATCGAAGAATTGGGGCCATGTTGATGTGGGTGTCATTGTGTGTGGTCCTCCAACTCTTCAATCAAGTGTTGCGAAAGAGATCAGGTCGCACAACTTGAGGAGACAGTTCGACCATCCTATCTTCCATTTCAACAGCCATAGTTTTGATCTGTAGCCTCCCACTCCACAACTTGTTTATTTATATGATTGTACACAAATATGTATATAGATATAGACTAGAGCTTTAGTACCCGCGCGTTGCCGCGGGAATATCAAATGAATTATAAGTTGTATAAAAGTGTTAGAATAAGAGATTAAATGAGTTGTGACCTGTGAAGTTGTGAGCATAATCGTAGATATGTTAAAAAAACTATTTAAATAAAATATAAAAAGTATGCACAAAAAATATATAGTAGTTGTTGACAACTCTATAGACACCTATAGAGTTGTTCAAAATATAACAGCTTGTACAAACATGAGTTTTTTAAATTTACCTGCTTTACCTTCTCCACACACTACACGCCTTGGCCCTTATTCTAAAAGCTTGCAAAACGTCGATTTGGACTATTTCCATTTTGTTAGAAAGTTGCTCAACCAAAATCTAAATTTCATCAATTTATGAAAACATGAATATACAGATTAAATTGCATGTAAAGAATGTACAAATGGTGTTCACCAAAAAAGAGAATGTATAAATAGAAAAATATCAATCAGCAAAAGAATTCTTAACATGAATACAACAATAAGAAATCTCAGATAGAAAATAAATATCTACCAACTACCATACAAAAATATAATGTGTCATACAAACTTAAAGCTTTTACTTGCATACTTTTCCTGATGAGCTGCAAAACTCATAATCTCTTCCTGACGCAATCTTACTTAATCTCAAATTTGTTAGTTACAGAAAAAAGATCCGTTTAACATCTAGTCCACAAAGTTATATGATTGACTTTAAATACATCTTTGTTGTGTTTATTCAATCCCTTTTGATTTAAGTAAAACTAATGAAAATGATTATAAAACTTTGAGTTTTAACGATAAGGACAAAATAAATGATAAAGTGAATGGTACATAGTTGATTTTTTAATGTAAAAATATAATTTTTCGTTTAAATGAACAGCATTAAAAGTTTTTCATTAAAATATCCAATAAATTTTATTTTAAATTGTACTAAAATGAGAGCTTGAATTGGAAAGGAGTGAGCTGTAAAGAACTACCAAATGGTTGCTTAGGGGAAGAGGGACGTTCTTAACCAATGTGGACGCGTGGAAAAATTGAATTTCGATCTAAAGTGGGTTGGCTTGGGTTTGTAACTTGTGGGTGGATTGATGGAAATTGGAATAGCAGCAGTGGTGAAGTGTAAACAAAGCAAATCAGTTTGGTATGGCATTACTTATTAGGCGCGTGGCGAGGGCTAGGAAAAATTAGACGGGGTGTCGTTGTCGTGGTAGTGGAGTGGTCAGTGTCATCAACCAAATAAATGTTAAATTGATTATATTGCTTAAACTTGATCAACAAAATTAAAAAGAAAAATAATTAGGGGAAGGAAGAAAAAGAATCCCATCCCATCCCACCACAACAACTGTAAGTCTGAAAGCCACATGATACGAAGAATATATGAGGTATTATCAATACAACTGTGATCTGCTATTGGGTCGAAAAATAAAACCTCTCCCACCGTCACCCATCCAAGTTCAACCTACCCAACAGAGAGACCCAACCCTTCCCAATCATTGAATAAATTAATATATAATACACCAGAAAAAGTCCAAATTTAGTCCACATTTCCTATTTATTACCAGCAACAGCGAGCAAAAGCAACTGGCTTGTTTGTTTTTGTGAATTCAGTTCATTCATTACTCATCAGATCTGATCCGGTGGTGCTTTGCTTTTGGTGTCGGTGTCCGTGGGAAACTCAATAACATCTGTCGGTCGGCGGGCATTCTATCAGAGCTATGAGCATGTACGGCAGGGACCCCTGGGGGGGGCCGCTGGAGATAAACACGGCTGACTCTGCCACCGACGACGACCGCAGCCGGAACCTGCAGGATCTGGACAGGGCGGCGCTGTCGTCGCGGCCACTGGACGAGACTCAGCAGAGCTGGCTTCTGGGGCCCTCCGGCGAGCAGAAGAAGAAGAAGTATGTGGATCTGGGATGCATCATCGTTAGCCGTAAGATCTTTGTGTGGACGGTCGGGACGCTGCTGGTCTCGGCCCTCTTGGCGGGCTTCATCACTCTCATCGTCAAGACTGTGCCGCGTCACCGCCACGCCCGCCCTCCCCCCGACAACTACACTTTGGCGCTTCGCAAGTCCCTAATGTTCTTCAACGCCCAGCGATGTATGTTTCTTTTTCCCTTCCTTCTATTTTTGGTTGGTGCTTTTTTATTTTTATTTTTTATTTTTACAGAAATTATGTCTCAAGACTCACTCAATACTCCTCAAAATCATAAAGTGTAACTGTCAAATCTGGATCATGTTTGTTGTTTGTTTTTGGTTAATTTGGCTTCCTCAGATCCTGTCATCACTAATTTGTTTGTCATTCATTCAATAATAATTTCATTCATGTTAATTTCCTATTTTATATGGCAGCCGGAAAACTCCCAAAGCATAACAATGTGTCGTGGAGGGGTAATTCGTGCTTAAAGGATGGCAATGATCCCTCCGCCACTTTCAAAGATCTTGCCGGTGGCTTTTATGACGCCGGAGATGCTATCAAGTTCAACTTCCCCGCGTCCTTCGCCATGACCATGCTCAGCTGGAGCGTCATCGAATACAGTGCTAAGTATGAAGCTGCCGGGGAACTCTCCCATGTTAAAGAAATCATTAAATGGGGATCCGATTATTTTTTGAAGACCTTCAACCATTCTGCCGATTCCATTGACAAACTTGTTGCCCAGGTATACTTAGCCCTTTTATTTATTTATTTATTTATTTTTTATGTTTACTTTTCAGTGCGCTAATTTCCTAATCTGCTACTTTGCTAATCTGACAGGTTGGGCTAGGATCTACTGCCGGAGGAAGTACTACTCCTAATGATCATTATTGCTGGATGCGTCCTGAGGATATTGATTACCCGCGTCCTGTGTCTGAGTGTCACAGTTGCTCTGATCTAGCTGCGGAAATGGCCGCGGCTCTAGCTGCTTCGTCCATAGTTTTCAAAGATAATAAGGCATACTCTCAGAAACTTGTCCATGGTGCAACAACACTCTTCAGGTTTTCAAGGGAGCAGAGAGGCAGATATAGTGCTGGTGGTAGTACAGATGCGGCAACCTTCTACAATTCCACCAGTTATTGGGATGAGTTCGTATGGGGTGGAGCTTGGATGTATTATGCTACTGGAAATTCCTCTTATCTTCAGCTTGCAACAACTCCAGGTCTTGCTAAACATGCCGGTGCTTTCTGGGGAGGACCTGATTATGGAGTATTGAGCTGGGACAACAAGCTTGCTGGAGCTCAGGTAAGCTAACGGAAGAATTCATGTTTTGATATGATGCATAAAATTTTCTAAAAGCCATTTGTACATGTCTTATCTTCAGATAGTTCTATGTTCATTAATCAGGTCTTTATCTAATATCAGATCAAATTCGGGTTACGACCTTCACAATTTTAGTCCCTTCATATTTTTCATTGCCAACACAATCTTTAAATTCTTTGTACTAGGTGCTTCTGAGCCGTTTGAGGTTATTCTTGAGCCCTGGGTATCCGTATGAAGAAATTTTGAGGACATTTCAGAACCAGACTAGCATAATCATGTGCTCATACTTGCCTGTTTTTACAACCTTTAACAGAACCAAAGGTACGAGGTTTCCTAATGCATAATTGTTTTTGTTGTGGACTTAATTGACCTCAATGGGGTCCACAAGTATGGGATCTAACATCTTACTGACCTGCTGCAGGAGGCTTGATCCAGTTGAATCATGGAAGGCCACAACCTCTTCAATATGTAGTCAATGCAGCCTTCTTAGCTACGCTGTATAGTGATTATCTTGATGCTGCTGATACACCTGGGTGGTATTGTGGACCCAACTTCTACTCTACTGACGTGTTGCGAGAATTTGCCAAAACTCAGGTATATAGTATTCATTTTCTTTCTTTCCTTTAATTTTTTTTTTTTTAGTAATGTTGCTTATGGGGCTTGAACTCCCCATACATGTGAAGAGACTCATGTTGAGACTTGATGGCCAATACTTCTTCTTTCTTCCCCCTCTGCTTTGGCAGATTGATTACATACTTGGCAAGAATCCTAAAAAAATGAGTTATATCGTGGGCTTTGGGAATCAATACCCAAAACATGTCCACCACAGAGGCGCATCTATTCCAAAAAACAAAATCAAATACAGTTGTAAAGGGGGATGGAAATGGAGGGACACTTCAAAGGCAAATCCAAACACGATTAATGGGGCCATGGTTGCTGGCCCTGACAAACATGATGGTTTCCGTGATGTTCGTTCTAATTACAACTACACAGAGCCGACTCTCGCAGGAAATGCAGGTTTGGTAGCAGCACTCGTTGCTTTGTCTGGAGAAAAATCTGTTGGAATTGACAAAAATACGATTTTCTCTGCGATTCCTCCAATGTTCCCCACTCCACCACCACCTCCGGCACCCTGGAAACCATGAGATGCTAAAGCGGTCACTATTGTTTTAATATGTGTGCGACTTATGGGTAGATGATTTCGCTGCAGTAATAGACTTTGAAGCTTATATCTCGTTGACATAAACAGTGACTCAGTAACATGAAGATCGAGAGGATGGGCGCAAGGAAGTAATGGACAAGACATTGAGAGATTGTTGGGCTGGGCTAGGCTGGGGCTAAATAGCGTCGCGAAGAATTGATAAAAATGTCTTTGATTGAATTTTGTGATATATACAGTGTATATGTATGGAACAAATCCTGTATTCTTTGAAACATGGAAAGTGAACAATTTGAATTTGGTTGACAGATTTTAAATTTGAATTTTGCATGTCAGTCATATATTTTTTTTCTCGCTCCTCTACCGCCCCTGAATTTGTGTTTTGACAGGAATGTGTCATGCTCTTGTCATGCTAATGCTGTTATGAGCATTGAGTTGTATACTCCGATTCGACCCGACTCAGCTTCTTACTTTACATCGATCTGCTTTATATTTTCATATATTTTTCTGGTAGCCGCAGCGCAGAGTTTTGGTGAGTTGGATAAGGAACTCTTTCTACTTTCGTTGATGTAGATCTTGTAGTGGGAACCTTCCTTGAAATGCACGGCCACCTCGAGTATGTGTACCCCTAATTTATTTGCTTCTTCTCCCCTTGTTCTCTTCTTTTTCCTTTGCTTTGGAAAAGGGTATTCTTTGTCCCCAGAATCAAGGTTTCCCTATACTTAAATATTTAAAGTTCGCAATCAATTAAAACAACATTCATTTCCGTCCCAATCTAATATGCTCACCACGGCAATCTTTGTTGGTGGATTGTTCATTTTGGTGTGACCAAGCTATGGCAGAAGAAGAAATCAACAGCTCTTTAGAGTATACACCGACATGGGTGGTTGCACTTGTTTGCTTTGTCATTGTTCTGCTCTCTCTTTGTGCCGAGCGCACTCTTCATAAACTCGGAAAGGTATCCAGACATTGTTCCCCCCTCTCTTATCATATTTGCAGTCATTATAACACTTGAAATCTTTTTGCTTTTTCTCCCTCCCCATGCTGGAAAATGCTTTCCACTCCCCATTCCCCCGGCATGTCACCTTCACCTCACCTAAACTGTTCACAACAAAACTAGCATCACCAACAGTTCCCGAAACAATATTAGCAAATACAATCATTAACAAATCTGATAACTGAATTAGCCTCGATCCTTTAGTAGAGGGATCAGTTTGATCACAAGGTTCATGACGATGATGATGATTCCGAAGATGTAGTGCTAACACCACCTACGTAAAAAGCTCAACATTGCTAGAATTCTACAAGTGTTGACAGCTTGAATCAGGCCCCTGGGTAAGGACCATAGGTAATGGGTCAAAAGAAGTAATAGAACACTGATAAATTAGATTTAACTTAAGTGATCCCTCGCAGTAGCGGTGGATGCAGTTTGTCTTTCATTGTTCCCTCATCGGTACTTGGAGAAAAATAACCCTTTGTCATCAGTTCCACAATAATAAGTAATAACAGTAGGCTAGTTCTTAATCGACTACAGTCATCATCATACTGCTCCTTATTCAATCTATAGAATTCTTAGCAGCTGGTGAATATGGAAATATGTGAATAAGGAGGAATGTATTGACAGGTGATAAATGCAATGCATATACGGAGGGCGGGAACTTATTTAATCAATAAATATTTGTCAGAAATTGATACTGTTGAGATTCAAATAGTTCCAAGGCAGGGAAACGAATCTTGTAATCACAATTTTGTAAGAAAATTGTAGGAAATAAATTCTGGAGCTTATCAGAAATTTAGATGTCTCAGTCACAAAAGATGCACGTAGCATTGATAAGCTACGAGACATGTCCAAAATCTTGAAAACCGAGGATTTTTCCTACTTTCAAATTATTGACGGACTGAGTCCCATCGTACTCTTAACTCTGTTTTTGGAAAGTTGAACTTATCTATAGGACAATTCTTCAAGGGGTTATTTGGGGACATCAAAAAAATTTCAACTAGTTTGCTGTTTGGTTTAATGTTTTTTTTGTCTGGAAATTCAGTACTTAAAGCATGAGGAACAAGATGCGCTGTTTGAAGCCCTACAGAAACTAAAAGAAGGTCTCTCTCTCTCCCAACATATCATTTGCCAATTAGATGGATGGATCATAAATTAAGAATGCCTATATACTTTACTAACGCTAATCATTGTGTTTCCTATCGTTGAAACAGAGTTGATGCTTTTAGGGTTCATTTCCCTTCTACTAACTGTATCTCAGCGTTCCATAATCCGCATATGCATCCCCTCTAATCTAGCAAATCACATGCTTCCGTGCAAGAGGGAAACTTCTGAGGGAAACAATAACGCGCATTACTCTCTTGATCAATCTATAAACAACCGGCGGCGGCTTTTGTCTGCAGATACAAATTCAGACCATTGTCTGCAAAAGGTAATGTATTGTTAGTACCTTATATATTTTACCACCACTTACAATGCTTTTGATATGAGTTTGGTGTGGGTGTGTGCGTGCGCATTCCCCTTCTTTGACGGAACAAGTTACAGGACAATGCTTGCTTTTTTCTATTTCCTTAGGGGAAGGCTCCATTGTTATCATTGGAAGCACTACATCATCTACACATCTTCATCTTTGTATTGGCAGTTGTTCATGTGATCTTTTGTCACTACTATGGTTCTTGGAGGGGCAAGGGTAATGCTTCTTCAGAATCTTTTTACTATTTGGATGATTATCTAAATATGTTTGATACAACATGGTGTCCTATTCCACCTCTTTATGGTTTGGGACCTTCCAGTTTGTATAGTGCTGCAATGATTATGGTTTGTATCTCTACGTTGTAACACATACGGTTTATCATATGTAGGTACGTCAATGGAAGCGCTGGGAGGATTCTGTTAGGCAGGAAAGTACAAAATCTGGGATGGGTAAATATGAAATTGGATTTGCAAGTATATTTTAGCCAATCCAAGTGCTTGTATCCGCTTTGTATGATTGAATATATGCTATCCTATGCAGATCCAACTAGTCGTGAAAATGTGCATGCTCAATGCCAACATCATGAATTCTTCAGTAAACGAGGAGTAGGATATTGGCGAAGAGCAGCTATCATAGGTTGGGTGGTGAGTTTGCTATAGTTTTGTTGTTGGAGATTATGGACTCTACATGCACGGTTCTGAAAATTCCTTGTTGCTTTATATTATTTCCTATATAATATGAAGGATTAAGATATCTGATAACACTCAGTTTAATGTACTTTCCTAGATATCATTCTTCAAACAATTTTATGGTTCTGTCACTAAGTCGGACTACATTGCATTGCGACAAGGGTTTATCAAGGTTAATATCTCCTTCTTGTTTCTATGTGGTTCACATATCAAGGTTAAAGTTTCTCCCGTGGGCATGTCATTACAAAAAATGTATGGGACTGACTTGGTTTCGTTTCAGGAGCACTTCCCTCAGAATCCTTGATTTGATTTTCACAAATACATGATGCGGACACTTGAAATTGATTTTAGAAAAATTGTTGGGATAAGGTAGTGCCTGGCTGTTGAGGTTTTGTTGTTGTTGCCTGGCTGTTGAGGTTTTGTTGTTGTTCTTGTTAAGCAGCTCAGCTGTGTATATGTATGAAGATCCTTTTGTGGCCGGAACTGTGCATTAAGATTAGATGGAATTTGATTGTCGACTAATATAGTAATACATATTCATTCAACCGTATATATGTGTGTATGTATGTAGCTAGTACCTATGGCTCTTCGTTGTGCAATTTTTGTTGCTGAACGTGGAAGGTAAGCTCTTGTAATAAGATCTCAATTTGAGCTGAATTAAATATCTGAGTGAAGTACTTGACAATCTATATCTTCGAATGTGCAGGATGGCATACCTATTTTTGGTTAGCGTTTTTGCCGCTGATTGTGAGTATTGCCTTAAGGTCCCTTAATTTTAAGTGGAACTGGAAATCAATAATTTCCTATTAATCTTGTTGAGTGACTTTGAGGAGATGATCGCATGTAAAATGATTGATGTTTGATATGGGATGACAGCTTCTGCTTCTTGTGGGCGCTAAGCTGAACACATAATTATCCGTTTGGCTCAGGAGGTTACGCAAGGGATGACAGCACAGGATGATCATGAAGCAGCTGCAACAGTGAAGCCTTCAGACAAACACTTTTGGTTTAACAACCCTCGCATTGTTCTGAATTTGATCCACTTCATATTGTTCCAGAATTCATTTGAGATTGCATTCTTCTTCTGGATCTGGGTATGTGTGCACTATGCAATGCATATATCTTACAATTCTTCCGGATTTGGATCTGCGTATGACTGACAGTCAAGATTCACTTGTTTGCAGACCACGTATGGATTTCATTCATGCATCATGGAAAAGTTGGGGTACATCGTGCCAAGACTTATTATGGGGTAATGGAATTCTATAAGGAAACAATTCGACAAAATATAGCAACTTGTGTACTTAATTACTCCCATCTCATGGTTCCATCACCGTATGCAGTGTGATTGTTCAAGTGATTTGCAGTTACAGCACGCTACCTTTGTATACAATTGTCAGCCAGGTAAGCTCTCTCTTGGCCTCTCTCTCACTGCTTGTTTTGTTTTTCCTTGTCTTTTTCATTTCATTTGTACAGTAAATAATCTCTTCCGTTTGGATGATTCAGATGGGTAGCATGTACAAGGAAGGAATATTTGATCAAAAAATACAACAATATATTGGTTCGTGGGTGGGAGATGCATAAGGCAAGCAAGATAAAATAGATAACGACGGATCCCTGTCAAGGAGAACACAAACACACAACATGATGAATACAGAGTTATATCAAATTAATATTGTACAACAAGAAACAGCTGCCAACGAAACAACTACAACTTCACCAGTTTCATCCTCTCAACTTTGTTCATGATTTTTTATAATTACCTCTTTTGTTCATTTAATTTGCATGTAACCATATACTTAACTATGTGTACAAACAACATATTTCATTGTCGAAATTTATTTCTACGTACAAATAAATATTTCATCCTCTTTGTTGCAGTTAATGTTTAATTAAATATGTGTTCATGTAAATCCTTAGATTAAGTATAGTATTGCTAGAGATCTAGAAGATCTTTCTTTGCAAAACGTTGTTTTTAGTTCTTGATATGATAAGAACAAATTTTCAAACACTGTAGTTGCTAAAAAATTAGTTCGGAATGAAAGGCCAAAACAAAACAGTGCTCTTTTCTTCTTCTTCTTCTTTTTTTTTTTTTTTTTTTTTTTTTTTTTTTGTGTAAAAGCTTATATAGTCTTAAACTGGGTCAGATTATGCTCGATTAAAGCATATCAGGGTTGGAACATGTTTATATCAGGCGGAAGATTCCAGGTAGGTTTTTATCGAGTCAGATTACTGGTAAGTTCTGCTAATTAGGAAGTTTCAGCTAATGTTGAGTGATTACTGGTACTGTTGCAACTCCAAAAGATTCCAGGTAGGTTTTTATCGAGTCAGATTGGAGTTATCGTGTGTGCACTTGGTGGCATTTGGCCAGAAGTACATTGGGGCTGTGTAGATAACTCAATTTTTTTATGTTTAGTTGATCAACCAGTACTTGGATCTAACGGAGGTATGACACAGAACTGAGCGCAATGACATTCTAGAATTCATATAGTTGACTCCACTTAGTGGGAAAAGACTTCGTTGTTGTTGTTGTTGTTGTTGTAGTTGATCAACCAGTGGTGAGACTGAGACTGGTGGTTTTTGATAGTTTGTGCGACAATTGTCTTGAGTTCATTGGCGTGCATAACAAAATAGTCACAGATGATCGACAAAAGAGCTGATGGCTTGGTTATGGTGTATGGGGCCACACTTGTTATGGCGTAGATTTGTCACGGGGGCCTCACACATGGTCAACATGCTCGCAAGGATGACAGTGAGAGTTGAGATTGAAGTTTGCTTAATTAATATAGGACAAAGAGGGGGTAAGACAAGAAATTAAAAAAAATCGAGGAGGATGAGGAAACGCTGTATAAACTCAAGACTCAATCCCTTTTATTTTATTTTATTTTTGAATACATTGATATTTTTACACTAATAGGAGGGGAAGTTTGGTAAAGTCTCACAATAGGCATTCTAATCTGGTATAAAATTTACCATCCACGAGATTCGAACTTAAGACCTCTTACTTTCAAGTAAAAATAAATACCACTAGACCGCCTATCATTTAAACAATTGATATAATAAGTAAAATTTTGAAATAACAAGGTAATTAAGTCCTAATAAACTCCAAACTATAATTCTAATAGATAAAATCTAAAATATAATAAGTGCAGAGTTCCTTATTGCATTGGTCCCTTGTGGAATTCTCATATAATATTGTGTTAATTACTGCTTAATATGGGGATTACTTATAGGAGCATATTTATGTGATTTTGTTAGCATATTTCCTTACATTTACTTAGTTAGTTTATATTTATTAGAGTGTTTTAAGCTATTTTCGTGTGTTTGTAGGTTCAAATGGCAAAAATGGTAAGAAAAGGCAATTTGGAGCATTTTAGAGCAGTTTTGGGTTTGGAATGGATAGCACATGCATGGAGAGAGGTGGATGGACGTTTTTGAAGATCAAAATAGACTAGGAATGTGCTAAAGAGTTGAAGAAATTAATTCAAGACATAAAAGATAAGGAATCAGCTAAAGAGAAACAATATTATCCAAAACCTTATCTTATCTTATCCTATCCTAACCTTATCCTAATCCTATTGTACCTAAATTCCAGCTGCAAGGGGGAGTTATTTCATATTAGGACATCTAAAAAACCTGATTTCTAGAAGGCCTTACCTTTTCCTAAAAGGGTGTCGCATACCTTATCCCTTGTCCTTGTTGGTTTGTGCTGTGCAATCCTTTTCCAACACAACCTTTGGATTGCCAAATCTTTCTCCAAAACTACCTTGTGCCATGTGCCCTCAGCCTATAAATACACCACAATGCTGCACCATTCAGATCACCACACACAAGAGCCTAAAAATCAGAAAAAACACACTTGTGTCGTAGTTTTGCAAGGAAAGAGAAGAAGAAGCTTGGAGTTGTGCTTGCCATTCAAGACCTTTGGATTGCTGGAGCGTTTTTAGGTGTATTCTATCCTTAGTTTTAGTTTAATGTTTATTTTAATTTGGTTTTCAATTATGATGAACATGAGGAACTAATTTCGTTTTAGCTAGAGGTGAATACAAAGCTATGAACATATATGTGATATGAATTGATTACATCTAGTTATTGTTTCATAAATTGTGAATGCAATTTACTTAACTGTTTGATTGATAACTTATTATTGTGTGTTGATTAAGGGGGCCCACTTAGTTTGCATGCTTGAATTTGATGCTAAAATATAAGGGAGTTTCACCTAATAGTTATGAACTTATATTTACAAGTAGTAGAGGTTGCTAGTCACAATCGCGTTAAGTAAATTCCTGGCAGAACTATCATGCAGTTCATAGTTACGAATGCCATGTCAATGCTTATGATTTTCACAGAACTTAATGATCTTTGATATGTATCTCTATTATACAGTTCATATAGGGAACTTGATAAGAATAATTTGGTTGTGTCGCTGAGTCCAATTCAATGAATTTAGGAAAATCTGAGAGTTAATTTGTGCAGTTCACGGTTAACTTGGGGCATTGTCATTCATAGTTTATAGGAATAATAACTGGAAATCGATTTGTATGTATATGGTTCATGTGTGGAGAAGAATCCTCTAGCTAGCCTTTCACCCCCTTAAGTCACCTTAATTTCGTGCAACCTTTACTTAGTTCTGCAACTTATTAGTTTTAAGTCAATTTTCGTCCAAACAAACCCCCCTTTCATGTTTTGAGTCAATTTAGTTAGATTTTCGTCCAAATCACCCCTAAGTGCTTGTTTTGAATTATTTGAGTCAGTTTAGTTTGTTTTGAGTCAGTTTAGCTTAGTTTTATGTTTTTGAGTCTAATTAGTGTAGATTAGCATCCCTCCTGATCCCCGACCTAGAACGATCCCTACTTTCATATACTACAACTATCAAAAAGAGGGTTTAAGTTTGTGTGCTATTTTTTATCACATCAAATTTTTGGCGCCGTTGCCGGGGAATTAGCAAAATTGCTAATCTCCTTTTTGTTTCTGTTTTTGCTTTTCTTGTGTTTTTGTTTTAGTTTTGTTTAGTTTTCTTTGTTTTAGGTATTAGTTTATGACTCGAAGTTCTCAACCTGTTCGTGAGCATATATTGGAGTTTGACAACGATTTTGAACGAACTTTGAGAAGGAAGAGGAATGAGCCAGAGCCCAACCCACCTAGTTCTAGCTTTGAATCCGAGTTTGAAGAAGTAGAGGAAGTGGAACAAGACATGGCTATGGAATATTGAACAATCAAGGAACTTTCAGCCTCGGGATTAGACAATGCCGTCCCTCTTTGCATTCAATACCCTAGGGCAGCTCAAGGGAAGACCGATGAATTTGAATTGAAGTCTAGTTTGCTGCATCACATTCCCAAATACCATGGGCTGTCCATGGAAAATCTGAACAAGCATCTTAAGGAATTTGAAGTGGTGTGCTTGAGCATGACACCAATCAACGTGGATGGGAATATTTAAAAATGAAAGCCTTTTCATTCTCTCTTATGGACAAGGCTAAAGATTGGTTCTATGAACTAGCACCTGGAACCATTACTTCTTGGGAAAGCATGAAGAAAGCATTCTTAGAGAAATTCTTTCCAACTTCAAGAGTCATTGGTTGTAGTTTCTGAATTTCCTTCCATCGTAGTCATGTATCTACGAGCAAAGGAAGTTGAAAGCTAGAATCTTCTTCAAGTCTTCGAATCAGAGCCACTCATGGTGAGGAAACCCTAAGGCAAGAGGCCCTATGATAGTATTTTATGTGAGAATATTCAAGATATTTGTGTAAATAAATATGTTGGACTAATTAGGTAAATAAATTGAATTAGGATTACTTACTTCAAAGAAGTCCTCTCTGCTTATGAATGTATTTATGATATGAATAAGGAATTATTCTATCATAAATACCTTTGACTTTTCCTATGGGCAGGGGTGCCTTGAGCAATCGTTGATCTTTGCCTATTCTATCTCAACCGCGCGTGGTGAATGAGAATGCTCCCTACTCATTTAACAAGGGCAGTCTTGTCCTTCTTGGGAAATAGTCCACATTTCAGCTCCATAATTTTTGGAATTATTTTTTGCTCCACGACTATCATTTGAAAGTGATGAGCAAGAATATTCCCAACTTGCATTGGCCAAGACACCAGTCCTGGTAAACTTATGCCACCTACTTTCCTAGGTCATTGATGACTCTTGTTGCAGATTTTCATTATGTTCAGTAGATTCTGTTGGACATTTCAATCGCACCGTCTAGCTGTGTACGCATGAATCGAATGGATGGCCTTTTTAGTGAATCACCATCCGTTCGGGCTTTTCTTTATAATTCTTCTGTTTTTATTTTTTTTATTTTCTTTTCCTTTTTTTATTTAATGCTTATGCGGCAAATCCTTACCGGCTGGTGCCTTACATGCTGAAATAGGTCGAGGGTAACTCCTAAATTTATTTCCCCTAAATGAAAGTAACAATGTCCCAAAAGGGAAGTAACCACCAAGAAACATTGACAACTAGATTTTTCGGGAATCTCATCTTCAAACGAACGGAAAACAAGAAATTAATATAAATAGAAAACAAAAAGGTTGTACAGCAGAAATTTCATTTAAAGAAAAAAAAAAACTAATCTTGTACATCAGTAAGGGAAGAAAAACAAAATATGCAAATTAGCCAGTGCTGCCAGATACATCTCCAGAAATTGCACTTCCATATGAAGCTGATCCAGTCTGTGAAGTGGTACCGCGAGCCTTCTGGATCTGCCGTATCCTGAAAGCATCTCTTGGGAGCGGGTGACTCTGGACCGTCATTTCGTCGTCCTCCTGGCCTATCAATCATAAGATAATTTGTTACCATGAGATATCAACTAGTCCAGAAGCTTGGGTTAGATTTATACGATCTTTCTGGAATCGTATAGT